GGACATCCCTGTCTTGTTCCTGTTCTTAGGGGAAATGCTTATAGTTTCTGCCCATTGAGTATGCTGTTGGCTGTAGGTTTTTCATATATGGCCTTTATTATGTCAAGACATAATCCCTCTATTCCCACATTGCTGAGTGTTTTTTTTTTTATCTTCACCCGAGGACATTTTTTGATATTTTGTTCAGATAGAGTGGGAGGGAGAGAGAGAGAGAGAAACATCGATGTGAAAGGGACACATCGAGTGGTCACCACCCACACAACCCAACCAGGGCCGGGGACAAACTGCAACCGAGGTACATGCCCTTAGCGGGAACCGAACCCGGGTCTCTCGAGACTGCAGGCTGACGCTCTAACCGCTGAGCCAAACCGGCCAGGGCCATTGCTGAGTGTTTTATCAGAAATGGTTGCTGGATTTTGTCTAATGCTTTTTTAGCATCTATTGATATGATATGATATAAAAATGGTTTTTATCGTTCATTTTGTTTATGTGTTGTATCACATTTATTGATTTGCAAATATTGTACCATCCTTGCATCCCTGGGATGAATCCCACTTGGTCATGATGAATAATTTTTTTGATGTCTTGCTAGAACCAATTTGCTAATATTTTGTTAAGGATTTTGGCATCTACATTCATCAGGGATTTTGGCCTGTAGTTTTCTTTCTTTGTAGTGTCTTTATCTGGTTTTGGAATTAGGATTATGCTGGCCTCATAAAATGAATTTGGAAGTCTTCCATCTTCTTGGATTTTTTTTAAAACAGTTTGAGGAGAATGGGTGTTAAATCTTTATTGAATGTTTGGTAAAACTCCCTTGTGAACCCTGCTGGGCCTGGGCTTTTGTTCGTGGGAAGTTCTTGATCACATCTTCAATTTCCTTAATTGTTATTCATCTGTTCAAGTTTCTTAAATCTTCCTGGTTCGGTTTTGGGAGACTGTGTGTTTCTATAAATTTGTCCCTTTCGCCTAGATTTTCCAATTTGTTGGCATATAATTGTTCGTAGTATGTTTTAATGATCCTTTGTATTTCTGTGGTATCAGTTACTTCTCCACTTTTGTTTCTGATTTTGTTTATTTGGGTTCTCTCTCTTTGTTTCTTGGTGAGTCTGGCTAAGGGTACATCAACCTTGTTTATCTTTTCAAAGAACCAGCTTTTGTTTCATTGATCTTTTGAATTGTTTTTAAAATTTCTATGTTGTATGTTTCTACTCTGACTTTTACTTTTTCTTTCCTTCTACTTGCTCTGGGTTTTTCTTTTTGTTTACTTTCTAGTTCTTTAAGTTGTAGGGTTAGAAAGTCAATGAGGAATTTTTCTTGTTTCTTGAGGTAGGCCTGTAGTGCTATGAACTTCCCTCTCAGGACTGTTTTTGCTGAGTCCAATAGATTTTGTGTTACTGTCTTTTCATTTTCATTGGTTTTCAGAAAGTTTTTAATTTCTTCCTTGATCTCCTTGGTAACCTATTCGTTGTTTAATAACATGTTATTAGCATTGTGATCTGAGAAGATCTTGATATGATTTCAATCTTCTTGAATTTGTAGACACTTGCTTTGTGTCCTAACATGTGATCTGTCTTTGAGAATGTCCCGTGTGTACTTGAGAAGAACGTATATTCTGCAGCTTTAGGGTGAAATGTTCTGTAAATATCAATTAAGTCTAACTGATCAAGTTTGTCATTTAAGAACTCTGTGTCTTTGATTATTTTTGTTTAGAAAATCTATCTAGTGGTGTCAGTGGGGTGTTAAAGTCACCCACTGTGATTGAATTGCTGTTAATCTCTCCCTTGAAGTCCTCCAGAAGTTTTTAAATATATTTTGGTGCTACTATATTTGGTGCATATATGTTTACCAGGGCTATATTTTCTTGTTGGATTGATCCTTTAATATTATGTAGTGACCTTCTTTGTGTCTTATTATCATGAAGGTGTTTTTTTCCCTCTCTTTTTTTTTTAATTCCTACACCCCGAAGCCCTACAGCCCAACACACCTGACAACTATCAGTCTGCTCTGTCTATGGGTCTGTCTCTATTTGGCTTGATAGTTCATTTTGTTCATAAGATTCCATATATGAGTGAAATTATATGGTACTTGTCTTTCTGTTTCTATAAGCCATTAACAAAGAGAAAATGGGAAAAAAAAAATTGATAGCTTCCAAAATACCACATGACTCTGAGGAAGTCTAATGATATGCAAGCTGATAAGACTTCTACCTATGCAAACATAAAATATATACATTCATGGTAAAATATAAAATTGAGAGAGTCAAGAAAACAAATAAGTGGAAGGATTTATCATTTTTAGATATTTCAAGTCTCACTTTTGGGAAGCTTAGTTCTTACTGACTCACTCTTTGGATTTATTAATGCATGGTAGTCCACCACATGAAAACCAGCCCCACTGCTTTGGTTGGTGTTGTTCAGTTGGTTGAAGCATCCTCTCATTCACCTAAAGGTTTCGGGTTCAATTCCCAATCAGGACACATACCCTAGGTTGTGGGTTCGATCCCCAGTTGGGGCATGTATGGGAGAAAACAGATTGATGTTTCTCTCTCTCTCCCTTCATGTCTCTCTAAATATTAATTAAAACATATCCTCAAGTGAGGATTAAAAAAAACAAAGCCCTGGCTAGTGTGGATCACTTTATTGTAGCATTGTTTTATATACCAAAAGGTGACAGATTTGATTTTCAGTCAGGGCACATATGCAGGTTGCAGGTTCGATCCTTGATCAGAGCACATATGGGAAGCAGCCAATCAATGTTTCTCTTTCACATCAATATTTCTCCTTCTCTCTCTCTGTCCCCCTTTCTCTAAAATCAAAGAGGTAGAAGTGAATTCCAACAAATACATGTAGGTGTATAAACACTAAAATACACTGTTTCTATACTAGCAGTGAACAATTGAAAATTGGAATAAAAGAAAAAAAGCCCAGTACTATTTATAGTAGTACAAAAACATGAAATATTTAGGTGTAAATCTGACAAAGTATATGCAGGGTTTGTATGTTGGAAATCATGAAACATGAGAAAAAAGCAGACCCCCCCACAAAAGGGAGATATTCAATGTTTATGAATTGGACGACTCAGTATTATTGAATGTCATTTCTCCCCAAATTGATGCATGGGTTTAGTACAACTTTCACCAAAATCCTAAAAGATTATTTTTGTGTAAATTGACAACTTGAGTCTGAAATATTTATAGAAAAATTTACTAACTAACATTGCCCAAACGATTTTGAAAAATAATAACAAAGTTCAAAGACTCAATATTCCTTCATTTCAAGAACTTATTCTGAAGCTATGGTAATTAATACTATAGAATTGACAGAAGCACAGAATGTCATCAAGTTGCACTTGATGTCTTATAACAGCTTTATTCATAATCACTGCTTTTCTTTAAAAAAGAAGTGTTCATTGATATTTAGAGAAAAAGGAAGGGTGAGGGGGAGAGAGAAACATTGATGTGAGACCACAACCTCATTTGGATGCCTTGACCAAGAATCGAACCAGCAATTTCTTGGGACATACCCAACCAACTGAGCCATACCCTTCAGGGCCATAATCACTCAATTTTTTGTTTTTGTTTATTAATTTTAGAGAGAGAGGAAGGGAGAGGAAGAGAGAGACATCCATGAGAGAGAACATCGATCGGTGCGTCCTACACACCCCGACCAGGAATTGAACCCTTGCATGGCTTGATGCCCAATCACGGAGCCACACCATCCAGGCCATAATCCCTGATTTTTACTCTTTTTTTTTTTTTTTAATCATAATCCCTGATTTTTATTTATTTTTTTATTATTTTTAATTTTTAATTTTATTTTTTGGTACCTGCCCCTAGTGGGAACTGAACCCGGGACTCTCTGGTCCACAGGCTGACGCTCCAACCGCTAAGCCAAACCTGCCAGGGCATAATCAATGATTTTTATTTTTTTTGCTTTATTTATTTATTTTTATTGATTAATTTTTGTTACAGATGATTCTCCTTTTCCCCCCCACTGATTCCCCCCTCCCCTCCCCTTCCTGCCCCTTCCCCAGATTGTTGTCCATGTCCACTGTTCATGCATAATTATTGATTTTTAAAACAAGTGTTAAAACAATGTTGACTTAGTTGATTAACTTTTTTTTTTCTTTCTCATACCCCTTCTTCTTCTTTCTTCTGTTTTCTGTTTTCTCTCTCTCTTCATGCTTCTTCCCCTCATTTTCATTTAGAGTAGCAGATTCCTTGCTGAAAAACATTTGGATAATCAATTGTATTTGATGCAGAATACAATTGAAGGATGTTTGTTTAGCTGATGAAGTGCTGGCTATTTTTCTAGAGATGTCACGGAATGGTTTTGTCTTGTTGATAACGCAGAGTTGAGTCTAGTCCTCAGTCTTACAGGTTCAGAAATAAGACTCTTCTTAAAAATGTTTAAATGGATTTTTGAGAGAGGAAGGGGTGGGGGAGAGAGAGGAGCATCAATTTGTTGTTCCTCTTATTTATACATCCATTGATTGATCCTTGTATGTGTCCTGACTAGGGATTGAACCTACAACCTTGGCATATTGGGACAAAGCTCTAACCAACTGAACTACCTGGCCAGGGTCCAGAAACATGACCCTTGACAGTATAATAATCACATCCATTCCTTAGAGTCACATTGACACTAACCAGAATAGAAAGAGTGAAGGATAGTTAGAACGTTTACTTATAAATGTACTAAAAACAATATAAATGTTAAATAGTTTGGAATGCTCTCCTTAACAAGTGGGAAAGGAGCCTGGTGAAACTTGAAATGAGAAAAGCATAGCTGATGCAAATTAAATATTCAAGGGCCATCTGGCTAATAAGATTCAGACTTAAGTCATAGTTGACTGTCACAGTATGGATTACAGTAAGTTTCCCTCTCCTTGGAGCACAGTATACAGTATACTGAGCTTTGATGCATTCCTTTCTTTGTTTTATTTGCTGACCCTTAATTGTTTTGATATGTTGAAACCTTCCATTTTACATTGATCTGTAGAACTGGCATCAGATGCTCAAAATGTACGTCAGGATCTGCCAGAAAAAAGTTCTTATGGACACAAAGGTATGAATGTTTTATTTTTTAAATTTCCTTAGTTACGAATTTTATAAAATGCTTATAGTATCTTCCATTTTTATCTAGTTTAATTAATAAAATCCATCAGATGAATGTTTATCATCTATATATTTACAACTACTTGATAAAATAATCATCACCTTTTGAATACAGAAGTGTTTTTCAGATGGGCCTTCAAGGCACCACAGATTTTTGCCTCATCGTTTTCCTTTCTCCTCCATGGTTGCTTTATATGTGCGTTACACAAAAGACCAACATCAAGTTAAATCTGACATAAGACATTCATGTCAAATATATTGTTTTAAACTAAAAATAAATTAATGTCATTGATATTTTCATATCTGTTTGAAATATAGGTCTATAAGCCTGTACTGGGAACCAAGTTCTTATTGTAAAATTTTTTTTAAAGTGTCATTTTCTTTACTGATTTTAGAGAGAGAACGAGAGAGAGAGATAGAAATATTGATGAGAGAGAACATCGATTGGCTGCCTCCTGTATGCCCCCCACTGGGGATTTGGCCCACAACCTGAGCATGTGCCCTGATCGGGAATTGAACCTGCGACCTCTTGGTGCATGGGTAGATGCTCAGCCTCTGATCCACACCGGCTGGGCTTAGTGTAAATTTATTTATTTTTTATAATTTTACATTGATTTCTTTTTTTTATTGTAAACTTTTAATATTCCAAAATAGGATTAGGACCTGACCCTGTTTTCTATATTTGAGGTCTCTGTGTTACTGCAAGAACTTGGTCCTGGCTTCTGACATGTGGCTTTCCCCTCTATTGCCGGCCATACCACCTTACCATGTTGTACTGCTCCTTACAACTATGTACATACATTGTCTTCTACCTACTTTTAAATGTACTGAGATTCTAACCCTATTCTGCATGTCTAATTTTGTATTTTAATTTTCATATGCTTAAGAATTACCTAAGATATTAAGTTTTATGTTATAAGTATTGACCCACAACTTAAATTTTTTTAGGAAAAAAGAAAGTAGCCCTGGCCGGTTTGGCTCAGTGGTTGGCATGTCGGCCTGTGGACCAGAGAGTCCCGGGTTCGGTTCCCACTAAGGGCACATACCTCAGTTGCAGTTTGTCCCCGGCTCCTATTGGGGTCATGTGGGTGGCAGCCAGTCGATGTGTCTCTCTCACATTGATTTGTCTCTCTCTTCCTCCCTCTCTCCCTCTTGCTCGTTCTGAAGATGAATGTAAAAATGTCCTCGGGTGAGAATTAAAAAAAATATATATGTTTTAAACTTCAGGATGCTTTTAACATTTTATTTATAGGTTTTTGTAATGCCTCATTGTTTTCTCTCTTCTGGAATGTCCCTTCTTTATATATCTGTCTGTTCAGATATTTTCCAGCCTTCAAGTTTTTTGCTGTGCTTCATCTAACCCCATAAGCTTTTTTTTTTTTTTTTTGGTACGTGCCCCTAGTGGGAACCGAACCCAGGACTCTCTGGTCCTCAGGCCGACACTCCAACCGCTGAGCCAAACCGGCCAGGGCTCCATAAGCTTTCTTTTACTATTCTAACTTTCTTTAACCTCTTCTTTTTACTCCAAATTTCCAGTGTATTAATCAGATTCATGTAATTTATCATTGTTCAGTAATATACAACCTTTATCACTCACAAAATTTTAAATTGTCTTTCCTGTGAGATATGATTTTAGTACTTAGAAAAATGCTTAATGTGTAGGCTTCTAACTCAGTATTCTTTGGTTTATGATTGATAATGAAGGGGATCTAAGGAAAATTTCATCATAAATAGTTTCCTATTATAATTTTAGATGCCTCAAAAGTGAAAGTTTTAGGAATGATATTTGAGGCTTTGAAATTGTTTTAAATTTCTTGATTAGAGTATTTCTAAAACTGTTCAGGTCAAAATTCAGCTTTTTGTAGAATTTCTCCATCTTTAAATTTGAGTACTGTCTTCTAGGATGAGTTTGACAACATGAGCATAGGGTAGGTTGAATAGAGGTGGTATCAAGAACACTGTGGCCCTGGCCCGTATGGCTCAGCGGTTGGAGTGTTGGCCTGCGGTCCAGAGAGACCCGGGTTTGGTTCCTGCTAAGGGCATGTGCCTCGGTTGTAGTTTGTCCCCGGCCCTGGTTGGTCGTGCGGGTGGCAGCCCCTCCATGTGTCCCTTTCACATTGATGTTTCTCTCTCTCTCTCTCTCTTTCTCTCCCTCCCACTCTATCTGAACAAAAAATGGAAAAAATGTCCTTGGGTGAGGATAAAAAAAAAAGAACACTGTACTGGCCATCGTTGAAATTAGTCCAGTTGTGAGCTTGTAAAACTATACATACGTTTGGAGAAAAGTCTGGAAGGAAATACATTAAAAGATTGGAGATTACATATTAGCACTTGGAGGAAAGTCATATTGTAGAAGGAAGAGTGAATGGCTTACCTTAGATTCATTTAGCTTCATGTAGAGTGTGCTAAGGAGACCTGTACAGGGGCCTAGAGACAAGGTTCTAGTACTCATTTCGAACAGGGACTAATTTCACCTGCTTTTTTTTCACTATTAATTCTTTCTACTTTTGTTTAAGAAAATAGTTTAATTCAAAGAGATGTTATGAATTTTCATGGCATTTCTCGAGAAATTACAGAAACCATTTAAAGATATGAGTGAGCCAGCCCTGGCTGGTTTTGCTCAGCAGTTAGAGCGTTGGCCCTCGAACCAAAGACTTGCAGGTTCATTTTCAGTCAAGGGCAGGTACCTTGGTGGTAGTTCAGTCCCCGGCCCTGGTCAGGGTCTTGCTGGAAGCAACCAATCTATGTGTCTCGCATCGATGTTTCTCTCTCTCTATTTCTCCCTCCCACTCTGTCTGAAAATAAATGGAAAAATATCCTTGGGTGAGAATTTAAAAAAAAACAAAAAAGATATGAGTGAGTCTACCCAGGATCAGATTGCCAGTTCAAGTATTGAAATCTTTATTCTAGCCTTACTGTTGTAGTTGACCCTTCAAGAACACAAGGATTAGGAGTGTCAGCCACCCTCCACATGTGCAAGTTTTAAACATCTCCCTTTTATACTCACATAGTAGCATATCTTAGGTAATATTTTACTGCGAAGCCATATCCATAAATCCATAGATTCTACATTTGTTTGCCATAACCAATTTTAATTAGGGACATCCTGTTTAAAGTATTCTAAAAAGGATGACTTCCGGTCAAGATGGCGGCATAGGTAAATATGGTATTGCATCCTCCCACAACCACATCAAAGTTACAACTAAACTACAGAACAATCATCATTCAAAACCGCCTGAAATCAAGCATAATGGAAGTCCTACAACTATGGAATTAAAGAAACAGCCACATCAAGACTGCTAGGAGGGCAGAGGTGGACGGGCTGGTCCCACACCCATGTGTGGCGGATAAAAATCAGGGTATCTCGGCTGGGAAAGTCCTCTCTAAGGAGTGAGGAGGCCCCCGTCCCATACCATGTGCCCCACTCAGGGTTCCAGTGCCAGGAAGAGAAGTCTCCATAACTTTTGGCTGGAAAAACAGCGGGAACTGAGGCTCAGGGAGGCTGAGGTGGCTGGAGCCCTGGGCAGCTCCTCTTGAAGGGATCGTGCACAGACTTACTGGGACTCTCCCTCTAAACTTGTAGGGAAGGCAGCTCAAGGGGCACCAGGGATATACAGGGAAGAACTGAGCTTTTTTGCACCTGAGCGGGGGCTGGAGTGGGGGCTGGAGAGGGGGCTTTCTCTTGGACAGGCATGCTGTAAGAGGCCTTTGTTCCTTTGGTGAGCCCTTACCTGGGGCGGCAGTCAGTCGCCATATCTGGGACTCTAGCAACCTGGCTCATACTGGTTGCCCCGCCCTGGTGATTCCCTGAGGCCCCGCCCCACCCAGCTTTCAGGCCCACCCAAGCTGTTGCCACTTGCTTTTCCATAGGATTGGCCTGTCTTGGATCCTGCTTCAGGTTTCCTAAATTCTTTCAAATGAGCAGCATCTGGTCTCAGCTAGCCCCATACCTCTCGTTAAGTAATACACGGAAACAAACACAGGGAGGCAGCCAAAATGAGGAGACAAAGAAACAGGTCCCAAATGAAAGAACAGAACAAAACCCCAAGAAAAGAACTAAGCGAAATGGAGATAAGCAACCTAACAGATGCTGAGTTCAAAATACTGCTTATAAGGATGCTCAATGAACTTAGTGAGGGCCTCAAGAGCATAAAGAAGGACCAGTCAGAGAGAAGGATGCACAGTCAGAAATGAAGGAGGCACTAAGTGAAATAAAGAATAATTGCCCTGGCTGGTTTGGCTCAACGGTTGGACCATTGGCCTGTGGACCAAAGAGTCCTGAATTTGGTTCCTGTTAGGGACACATACCAAGAAAGAGAGAGAGAGAGAGAAGAGGGAGGGAGAGAGAGAAAGAAAGAGAGTGGAGGGAGGAAGAGAGAGAGAGAAAGGAAAGAAAAAAAGAAAGAATAATTTACACAGATTCAGTAGCAGAGTAGGTAAAGCCAAGAAGCAAACCATCAATTTGGAATATAAGGAAGCAAAAAACACCCAGTCAGAACAGCAAAAAAAAAATCCAAAAAAATGAGGGTAGTGTAAGGAGTCTCTGGGAAAACTTCAAGCGTGCCAACATTCGCATCTTGGGGGTGCCAGAAGGAGAAGAGCGAGAACAAGAAATCGAAAACCTGTTTGAAACGATAATCGCAGAAAACTTTCCTAACTTGGTGAAGGAAACAGACGTACAAGTCCAGGAAGCACAGAGAGTCCCAAACAAGATGAACCCCAAGAGGCCCACACCAAGATACATCATCATCAAAATGCAAAAAGTTCAAGTCAAAGAGAGAATCTTGAAAGTAGCAAGAGAAAGGCAGCTAGTTACCTACAAGGGAGTTCCCATAAGGCTGTCAGCTGATTTCTCAAAAGAAACTTTGCAGGCCAGAAGGGAGTGGCAAGAAATATTCAGAGTGATGAAAAGCAAGAACCTACAACCAAGATTACTCTATCGTGCAAAGCTGTCATTTAAAATCGATGGCCATATAAAGACTTTCCCAGACAAGAAAAAGTTAAAGGAGTTCATCACCACCAAACCGTTATATGAAATGATGAAGGGTCTTTTTGAAAAAAAAAAAAGATAAAATGTATGAATGTATGAACAAACAAAATGGCAATGAATACATATCTATCAACAATAGAATCTACAAACAAAATGAACGGGCAGAACAGAAACATTCTCATAGATACAGAGAACATTTTGTTGGTTGCCAGATGGGAGTGGGGTTGGGGGAATGGTTGAAAAAGGTGAAGGGATTAAGAACAAATTGGTTGCTAGACTGTCAGACCTCAAAGAGAAGGGGACTGGGCCCTGGCCGGTTTGGCTCAGCGGTTAGAGCGTCGGCCTGCGGTCCTGAGAGACCCGGGTTCGGTTCCCGCTAAGGGCGCGTACCTCGGTTGCAGTTTGTCCCCGGCCCTGGTTGGTCGTGCGGGTGGCAGCCACTCGATGTGTTCCTTTCACGTCGATGTGTTCCTTTCACGTCGATGTTTCTCTCTCTCTCTCTCTGTTCCTCTCTCTCCCTCTCACTCTACCTGAACAAAAAATGGAAAAATGTCCTCGGGTGAGGATAAAAAATAAATAAATAAAAGAGAAGGGGACTGGGAGTTGGGAAGAAATAAACCAAAGAACTTATATGCATAACCAATGGACACAGACAACAGTGTGGGAAAAGGCGGGAGTGAGGAAGAGGGGGTCAATGGGAGAAAAATGAGGAACATCTGTAATACATTCAACAAGAAAGATTAAAAATAATGAATAAAGCATTCTAAAAAGGACTGTCTCTCTCTCCCTCCTTCTCTCCCTCCTTGCTTTCTCCCTCCCCGTCCCTCCCTCCTATTCTATCTTTAAAAAAAAAAAAATCAATGGAAAAATATCCTCAGATGAGGATTTAAAAAATAATAATTAAAATTAAAAGGATTCTTCCTAGGTAACACCATCAGTTTACTTATAAGGTGGTTGGCTATTAGGTTATTGACATGATTCCCAGGAAATTAGATCATCATCACTTAACATTTTTCTTAGGAATGTGCCCCTCCTTTTCTTCTCTTTCTCCTTTCCACAAACAAACCTCATTGAAGGTCAGATACTCATTTCTTCCTATTGAAGAACGGAAGACATTCCTAATTCCACTTCTTGAAGGGTGGTTATAGTGAATATTTTAGTATATTTTCTTTTAAAACCATTTTCTCTGGTGTGTTTTCATGCATGCTTTAAAATAGTGGGCCTATACTTGTTTCAGAATCTCTTAAGTACTAGAGTCAGCATATTTGAATATCAGTACTTTTCTTTAAATCACTTAATTGTGCCTGGCCGGTGTGGCTCAGTGGTTGAGCATCGACCCATGCATCAAGAGGTCGCCTGTTCGATTCCTGGTCAGGGCACATGCCCACATTTGTGGGCCAAATCCCCTGTGGGGGGGCATGCAGTAGGCAGCCAATCGATGTTCTCTCTCATCAATGTTTCTCTCTTCCTCTCCCTTCCTCCCCCTCTCTAAAATCAATAAAGAAAGAAAAAAATAAATAAATAAATCACTCAATTGTTATATAGATTATTGTTCTTTAAGAACTGTTTGATCGCATCCTCTGTATCTGTTTTTCAGGAGTTATATCACCAGACTTGATAATGAGCAGGACTAATGTTCAGCTTTGCTGGAAACCAATTAGCAAACCATACAGTAGAGCTAATTACCTTATAAAAGGATACTTTTCTATAAATATGATAATTCAGTAATCCACCTGAAAGGATCCTAGGCAGACCTGCCTTTATTGAATATTTTTTCTGTGTTTAACTTTATACATACGGAATGATCTCACTGTTTAATGTGTATATTTATGTCGTGCCCATACTTTCTTACTCATGGGCAGAATTGCCTGGATATCATTTACACTGAAGCAGAATCAATTTTAGACATTGCTTTGAGTTTTTGTGGGTAGTACCTAGCCAAGTTGCATTTGAAAACTTGATAAATTTATTGAGAGTGGATTAAGAGCCTCATAGTTCTTAGACTGTAGACTAAATTGCTAATGAGATACATAGTGTATCTCATGCAGTACACAATAGAGAATCATTTGGAATAAGACAATATTTGATGTTATGGTGTATGCTGTGATTGTTGTCAACAGGGGCCTGGAAAAATTCTGTGGAAGAGTGGACAACAGAAGACTGGACTGAAGATGTAAGTGTTTAGTACCAGATCAGACCCATCTTTCTTCTGGTTTCTGGTAGGGGCATATATATTTTGAGGAAAGCCTGAGTTATCTTATGGCTGGCTGTTCATGGCTCTTTTTCAGAAGTCTGTGATTACCATGGGTTTTTTGTTTTGTTTTGTTTTGTTTTAGTAGACAGAAGGAGGTTGGTATTTTGAGATTTTTAAGAAACTTGGTGTTGTTTTTTTTTTTTTAATGTTTTTATTGATTTTTTTTTTTTTTTTTTTTGAGAGAGAGGAATGGAGAGAGAGAGAGGAGTGCAGAGAGAGAGAGAAACATCTGTGTGAGAGAGAAACATCAATTGGCTGCCTCCTGCATGCCCCCTACAGGGGATCAAGCCTGCAACCCAGGCATGTGCCCTGTCCGGGAATCAAACCGGGATCTCTCAGTCCACGGGATGATGCTCAATCCGCTGAGCCACAGTAGCCGGGTATGCCTGTTTTTTTACTTCCTTTTTTTCTAGTCTCCCATTTTTATCGATATTATGAGTATCATAATAATTGTCTTGCCTAACTTATAGGGTTTTTCTGTGAGGCAGATGAGGTCTTATGATAAAAGTCAGCTAATAAGCAGTTCAGATGTAAACACATACAGGAATATTATTATTCTGCTATATAGACCACATTATATCACAATGTAATTTATAATTAGTGAAAATAATTTGCACAGAGAATTTGGCTGTCTTCTTTCCTCAGGAGTTATCAAAAAAATCTGAAAGTTTTCTGAGATGATACAAAGTAATGGTGATTGAAAGATAAGTAATCTAAAATACGAATCCTAAATTCCTTCTAGAGCTTAGAATAATAGCTATTCACCTTTCCCTCCTCTTCCCCGTTCTTTAAAAAAAAGAAAGAAGGAAACAATTCAATTTTCTGTTAATTTATTTTTATTTTTGTTATTGATTTTTAGAGAGAGAGTAAGGGAGAAGGGGAGAGAGAGAGAAACATCCATGAGAGAGAACATTGATTGGCAGCCTCCTGCATGTCCCCCACTGGGGATCAGGCCCACAACCTGGGTATGTGCCCTGATTGAGCATCAAACCATCGACCTTTTGGTGCATGGGTCGATGCTCAACCACTGAGCCACACTGGCCAGGCAACAATTTTCTGTATTGTATCAGGGTGAGATTGGATGTCAGTGATTTCTGTGGCTCTTACTTACCTTGAATTTATTATTATTTTGAAAGCTTTAGATCTACTCTTATCATTTTTTTCATTGAAAAAAAGAATTACTCCTTTATCGCTTCACTTTTTCTTAACTCTAATTTTTAAGATTCTTTAAGGCAAAAATGGATTACTTGGGACTCTTAAGATAATAGCTTGGAACAGGGTTCAACATTAAGCCCTTCTTGTTGAAACATTAATCAATTCAGCACTTTTTGTTTTTACAGAAAATGAACACCTACTGTTTGCTCTGCCTCTGCCTGAATATTTTTTTTCTTCTTTTTTTTTAAATTTTTTATCCTCATCCGAGGACATTTTTGCACTTATCTTCAGATAGAGCGGGAGGGAGAGAGGGGGAAAGAGAGAGAGAGAAACATCGATGTGAGACAGACACATCAACTGGTTGCCACCCAACTGGGACAGGGACAAACTGCAACCTGGGACTCTCTGGTCCACGTGCCTATGCTCTAACTAACCGCTGAGCCAAACCGACCAGGGCCTGAGTAGATTTAAAAAAATTTTTTTATTTTCTTTATTGATTTCAGAGAGGAAAGGAGAAGGAGCGAGAGAGAGAAACATTGATGAGAGAAAATATTGATTGGCCACCTCCTGCACATGCCCCAACTGGGGATTTGGTCCACAGCCTAGTCATGTGTCCTGACTAGTTGGTGCATGGGTCAGTGCTCAACCACTGAGCCACACCAAGCCCGGCTTTGCCTGAATATTAATGTCTGAGGATGTCTGATTTTATATAGCATGTCAAAGTTCTGAAACATTTAGAATTGATAAGATTCTAAATGTTGATAGCATTATTATTAGTTTCTTATATTATCTTATTAGATCAACATTTGTCAGCCTTTAAAGCCCATGTGCCACTTTAAAAATGTGAAAATAGCCTACCTTTCAACAATGTCAATTGAGGTTTCAAAAATCTTTATTCTGTGTGCCTTAAAAATGCATGAAAACAATATGCATGAATATCTGAACAATTCTATTGAGCGTTAGAAGCCAGAAAGGATTGCATATTATAAAATTTCACTTAAAATTCTAGAAAATACAACCTAATCTGTAGTGACAGAACGCACATTGGTTGTTGCCTGGGGATGAAGTGAGTGGTGGAAGGGATTGATTACCCAGAGATAGGAACAAATTTGGGGGGTAATAGGTAATGTTCACTGTCTTGATTTGGTGATGGGTTCATGGGAGTACACATATGACAAAACTCATTTAATATTTTAGGTTGAATGTTTACAGTTTATTGTATGTCATACCTCTATAAAATTATTTTTATAAAAGCAGCAAGGAAACCTATGGCTTAATAAAAAATAAATAGAGATTATTAATAAACAGAATACTAAAGCCGTTTGTCTTTGAGGAAAGAAAACGTCAGCTATTGTGCCTTTTCAAATTTCTCCACTCCTTTTTTTACATTTATGATGACATTGGTGGTGGTTTTATTGGTATTCTCATTTGGTATAATGTCAAATAGTGAGACTAGAACTTTAACCCTGGTCTGACTTTACTTCACTGTGCTATTTCCCTAATGTGTAATCTTTATTGTGGGCTTATCAATCTAAAATTACCTTAACTTTGCCTGGCTGGTGTGGCTCAGTGGTTGAGCATCGACCCATGTACCAAGAAGTTGCTGATTCTATTGTGGGCCTGATCCTTAGTGGGAGTATGTAGGAGGCAGCCAGTCAATGTTCTCTCTCATTGATGTTTCTATCCCTCTTTCCGCCTCTCTCAAATCAATAAGGAAAATAAATAAATAGCCCTGGCCAGTTTAGCTCAGTGGTTAGAGCGTCGGCCTGTGGTCCAGAGAGACCCGGGTTCGGTTCCCGCTAAGGGCACATACCTCGGTTGCAGTTTGTCCCTGGCCCTGGTTGGGTCTTCCAGGTGGCAACCACTCGATGTGTTTCTTTCACGTTGATGTTTCTCTCTCTCCCTCCCTCCCACTCTATCTGAACAAAAATTGGAAAAATGTCCTCGGGTGAGGATTAAATAAATAAATAAATAGAAAATAAATAAATAAAATTACCTTCACTTTAAGGAACTTACTTGCCATGATCACCTGTATATTTCCTCTCCATTAGACTACCTTTTGGTTGAACTATAATGAGAGTACTGGCAACTAAAAATTGTTACGAACTTGATACATTTTTTGTTTTATTATTTTATTTTAATTTTTTAATCCCTTTCATACAGCTTTCTGAAACAAAGGTCTTCACTGCCTCTTCTGTTCCACCAGAGAATCATGTCACACCTGCGCAAAGGTAAATACTTTTTGCCATCTTTTGTTTGTTGTAATTGAAACTTCTTGCCTCAGGAAAATTGTTTTGGTTCTTGCATCTCTCTTATTATTTTGACCTTTTCTTGAATCTCTTTGTTTTTTACCCCTTTCTGTCTGAGACTTTCTTTTATCCCAAACCTACCTGGTGAGCTGACAGAGCCTCCATCATTTCCACTGTTGAATTAAAATAGCCATAATATTTGTGATTTGTTATCATTTATGGCAGAGATTATGTTAAACCTATGTAATGGTTCTTTTTTACTTTTGTAAACTTGGTTTTTGACAGATAAACTTAAAAAAAATATATCCTTTGGTTTCTTCATATAATACCATTTATTTAGATCTCAGGCTAGTACAAACTTCCCATTTTTTTATGGGTTCTACTAGTTTTAATCCTATTGTCTCATAGATTACAGAAAAGGAGGGAGCTTTGGAGGATAATATGTATATGTGTACAAAAGTGAATTTTTGAAAAGCATTTATTTACATCCTAGTTTTCACAATAACCCTAAAAACTTATGATTATAGTTTCAAAATACTGTGATCTGAAAGCCTTGATATCTGACACCCGAATTGAAGGCAGTTTTGAATCTTACATGCTCACTTTACATGGTAAATAAGATATTTATAAGACTTTTGTACAGGGAAATATAAACAAAGGTCATATCTTACAATATATTGTTTTTTGAATTGCTCAGAATTTCTTGTTAAATGGATATAACTTTATTGTATTTATTACTCAATTTGTTAGGGTTATTTTCATCTTTTAAAACAATATGAGATAGACATACGTTCCAGAAAATAGGGCTATAATATTTTTCATGCATGTATCTCATCAATCTTTTGGAATAGAACTTGGCTCTGTTTTTTGTAGCAATGCAAGATTTTGGGTCTGGGTCATATGTAATATAATTACCTTGGGTTTGTATCCCTGAAGTATCCCATAAGCTAGAACATTACCTTGGAATCCAAAATAGTGGTCTGGGACTTCAACCTGGTTATGGGAAAGTCTGAGTGGTAGTGCGTAGTTAGAGGAACTCAGGCCCAGGAACTTTGCTCTGTATCAGCAATGAGTGTTGAATGATTTCACCTCAGAATCTGTCTCAGAGGCATGGTGAACTTTTCAGTTAGAAGAACTGAATGGAAACTGGCATTTGAATGGGTTTAATGGGGCAAATTATCTTGTTAGGTAATTCTGTGCACCTTGCAGGACCCATGGAGAAGAGTTAGTATTTCACTCAAATGTCAGGTAGTATCTATGTCTGGAAGATCATTTCTTCCTAATGCTTTCAGGTGTTTAGGCCATGGTTCTCAAATTGGAATATTTGTCTTTCTGGGGACATTATAAGAGTTGTAGTTAACAGAGTATTTGTTAATATATTGTGCACTCTGTCCTGAATATTTATTATCATTATTATTATTATTATCATTATCATTATTATTATTTTAATCCTCACCTGAGGATATTTTTCTATTTATCTTCAGATGGAGAGGGAGAAGGAGGGAGAGAGAGAGAAACATCAATGTAAGAGGGACACATCGACTGGTTGCCTCCCGCATGACCCTGACCATGGACAGGGACGAACCGCAACTGAGGTGCATGCCCTTGACTGGAATCAAACCCACAACTCTTTGCTCCACAGGCTGACGCTCTACCGCTGAGCCAAACCAGCCAGGCCCTTTCCTGAATATTTAAGAGAGAAAATTATATGAAATTTATACAAATCTAAATATATTATTGGATAGAATGCAGAACTTACAGGAACATTTATGATAAATATGAAACTGCTTGAATGGTATATTATGGCTGTCATCCTCTTTGTCTCAAAATATGGATTCATTGCCTTTAGGAAAGTTTGAGACACTATTTCCAAGTAATAAAAGAGTAAAATATACTAAAGGAAATGAGCCAGACTTCAGAAAATTGTTTATGCTTGCTCAATTGTTCTAGATTTTCAAATCAGTTGTCACTGTTTCATTTCTGTGGAAATGTCTCAATGCACCTTTTCAGTTTTCTTCTCTGCAAAGCCCTGCTTCAGTCTCTGTGGCTTCATATACTTTTTTGTGTGTGTGTTTGATGCCCTCCTCTTGGCTCCCCCTAAACACCAGTTTCCAAAGGTTTTCCTCACTTAAGTAATTTTTGGCATGAATTTACTTTATATTGATTCACTTATCAAATTCATTTGTTGGTAAGATTTGTTTATGACTTGTTCCTCATTTGCTTTTTGTCTGCTTAGCATTGATCTGGTAGCCTTGCTCCAGAAGCCTGTTCCTCCCAGTCAAGCCTCAGAAATCAACTCCTTTGAAACTTCTCAACAACAGGGCTTTGGCCAAGCCCTTATCTTCACAAATTCTCAGCACAACAATCAGATGGCACCAGGGACTGGCAGCTCCACTGCTGTCAACTCCTATTCTCCTCAGAGTCTGGTAACTCACTTTTATTTCAGTATGGGATTTTAAGAAATGTACCTATGAGTAAATATATCCTAGAATGATACATGTCTTATAACTATTTTCTAAATATAAAACTTTCTGTAGTACATTTCAGTCCAGAAAACAATGATGTGTTCATTTCCAAGCACATATCTGATGATTCCATGTGGAATTCAACTATTCTGAGTTTTCTGGACAAAGATAAAAATATATATTTTTTTAAGTTTAATCTTTTCAGTCATAATCACTCAGGCATCCTTATTAATGATTTTTTTTGGATTTTATTTCAAAGTCTGTCCCAACTTAAGATGTTAAAATTTTTATTTTCCAATTTACTTAAGTGCAAATATTTTTCAGTACTGGCTTGATGAAATTGTAAAAACAGACCTAGGTCTGCCTAGGTGCCTGGTGGTGGTGGTGGTGGTTTGCCTAGGTGCCTGGTGGTGGTGGTGGTGGTGGTGGTAGTAGTAGTAGTAGTAGTAGTAGTAGTATTTTATAGTTTTATTTGTTTTGTTATTCTACATACTTATTGCACTTTTCCTTAAAAGGCCACACTATGGCTCTGGCCAGTGTGGACCAGTGGTTAGATTGTTGGCGTGCACACCAAAGGGTTGCAGGTTCGATTCCTGGTCAAGGGTACCTATCTGGGTTGCTGGTTCAGTCCCCGGCCCTGGTTGGGGTGTGTGCGGTAGGCAACCAATTGATGTGTCTCTTTCACATTGATGTTTCTCTCTCCCTCTCTCTCTCTCTTCCTCCTTCCCTCCCTCCCTCCCTCTCACTCTTTCTAAAAAGGAAAAAAAAAATCAATGGAAAAAATATCCTCGAGTGAGGGTTAACAAAAAAAATTTTTAAAGGACACATTCTGTAGAAGAGACCCTTATAATTTGGATGTGCTTTTGTTGAAACAATGTTATCTTCTGCTGCATCTATAACACTGACCTCTCATGAGGATTAGCTGCCATCAGAAAGAACTAAAGGAATTGTTAGTGAAGGATATAAAGATAGGTTAGTGGAAGTAGAGAAGCTTAGAGCATAGAATGTAAAACATTGTAGCTGCAGCATGGGGGAGTGAAGTCTCTGTCTAACTGTATGCAGTTGGGAGTTGGCAGAGGGGAGGTTGGAAGGACCATAAACATAGATTCACAGCTTTCACTAATGATAATTATTTTGGTTCATTTTTATAATGTTTTACCTGAAATCTACTGTTGAAAAACAGAATTTCTTATTAATATGATACAATATTTTCCTCTTACCTCAAAATCATTTGCTGTACCCTAATAAAATATAGAATTCAATATGGAAAATTTTTATTGCTATCTTCTGCTCTACACAGTCATATCATGTCAAGTATATCTGGCTTGGGGTATACTTGGCATTTTTAGTGCCATTGATAATTATGCATAAAAGGGTGTCAGTGCTTGAAGTAGGACAGCCTAAGCCATAGTGCTACTGGCATATTGATGTCATGTCCTTGCTGACTTGCTAGAATCTTAGCCAGGCCACTGAGAGCATAGATAGGACATGAGTTGTTGTTTTTTTACAGTGACCTTCAGTATTGTTGCTTCTTGTCATGAACAACACCTTGAGAAATTGGTAAGAATTGTTTATATAATGTATTGGAGCAGTGATTTTCAACCCTGCTATACTTTTATAATCAGAAGGGAACTTAGTAAATAATAACAACAGTAATAGTTATAATAATAAAATAATACTAGAGTCTATACAAGACCAGCAGAGTTTTAAAGTTGATTGAACTGTGTAGGTGGAATTGAAAAATCCTTGCTAGTTTGAGTCATTGATGCAGTAACTTCATTGTGTTGTAAAGTACACAGAAAGTGCATTTGACAAAATTGGCTGATGCAGGATGGAATATAGATAGGGAAAAGATGAAGAGTAGAAGCATCATCTGAGAAGACTTCATTGAACAAATGGGCTTGAGCTGGGTTTTGGCAGATTAGTAGCAACGAAAGACCAGTGTAATCGGCAGCATGAGCCAGGAATCTGTAGTTGTGATAAGTAATGTTAGCACAAGTGTTCTAATAGGAACAGATTCTGCGAATGATGTGTAATAACTGCTCACAACCTAAAGTTTTGCTCACACTGGAGAATTTGGATTTCCTTAGAACAACTAGGATATTCTGTACCTTTGAATATTGATAGCATAAATAATTATTTTAACTTTCTAGATCTGGCCTCTTGAGGGAATTAAAATAATTTCTGTTTTTGACCTTTTAGGTGGTTTTGAAAGTTTTTTTTTTTTGACGAACTTGTTTTTTCAGAAACTGAATGATTTCGATAATATAAAAATGCATTTGATCCAGCATTATGTTCTCTAGTCATAGGCTTACATTTTCCTGAGATCTTCATTCCTGACCTGACAGGATAAAGGGGAGGTATAACATTGTCTTTTGTATGCTTGCTTGTGGGACGTACTTGGTGTTCCTAGTCATCTGAACAACTTGAAATAAATTCATCAGTATGGTGGGTATTGCTCAATACAACGATACTTCCTGTGTCTGATTTTGGAATACTCACTTTTTAAGTAAGTGCTGTGACCTGCGTTTAATCTTGCAGACCTTGTGGCTGATCTGTTCTAATCATTAAAGATAATTACTGTTCTGCACATTAAGAAAACACTGTTTTATAAGCTTATGTTTGTCATTTAATTCATGGCATTCCTCTTTAGTTAAAAAAAAAAAGTATTTTGTTTGTGAATTTGTGACATCACTTTTTCAAAATGTCAATTTCTTAAAAATCCAGGGACTATGTTTTCCTTTCCTTTAACCTCTTATCACAATCAACAAGGATTGCTGGATTTATTAAAGTCAGATCTTATTGCATAGTAATATTTTCTTGTAGTGTTTACTCATACAAGCCCTACTAATTCAGATGTTCTGGATTATAGTTTTTTTCCCCCTAGAACTTACTTTATTTATTTATTTATTTATTTATTTATTTAATCCTCACCCGAGGACATTTTTCCATTTTTTGTTCAGATAGAGTGGGAGGGAGAGAGAGGAAGAGAGTGAGAGAGAGAAACATTGACATGAAAGGGACACATTGAGTGGCTGCCACCCACATGACCAGCCAGGGCCGGGGACAGACTGCAACTGAGGTACGTACCCTTAGCGGGAACCGAACCCATGTCTCTCTGGACCGCAGGCTGACACTCCAACCGTTGAGCCAAACCGGCCAGGGTTGGATTATAGTTTTTAAAATTCTTGTAAAAATATTTGGCATGTTTTAAAGCCTGGGGTAGAAATTCCGTATTGTTTAGGATTTCTGCTTTCTTTCCTTTTAAAGTCATCCGTCCTTGGTTCAGGATTTGGAGAGCTTGCACCTTCAAAAATGGCAAACATTACCACATCCCAGAATTTGGACCAGTTGAAACCTCCAAGTTTGGGCCAGTTTACCACCACCCCAAGTTCACAGCAGAATAGTACTAGTGCCGCCACAACCACTTCTTCTTGGGACCTCAAGCCCTCAACTACCCAGTCCTCAGTCCTTAGCCATTTTGGTAAGTATACATTTTCTGTGGTAATTCACCCCTAAACATTAGCAGAAGCTGTTGATTTATGAACACTACTGTGGAATTTATCCAGAGATGTTCTTTTCTTTCTTTCTTTTTTAAACTTCATTTACTGGTTTGAGAGAGAGAGAGACATTGATTTGTTGTTCTACTTATTTATGCATTCATTGGTTGATTCCTGTATGAGCCATGACCAAATCAAACCCTCAACCTTGGTATATGAGGACAATACTCTAACCAACTGAGCTACCTGGCCAATGCCCAGAAATGTTTCTTTTTTCCTTCTTTTTTTTTAAATCCTCACCCAAGGATATTTTTACATTTTTAATCTTCAGATAGAGCAGGAGGGAAAGAGGAAGGAAGAGAGAGAGAGAGAGAGAGAGAAACATCTCTGTGAGAGAGACACATTGATTAGCTGCCACCCGCACAGTCCTAACTGGGGCCAGGAGCAATACTGCAATCGAGATATGTACCCCTGGCCAGAATCGAACCCGGGACTTATTGGCCTGTGGAATGACATTCCAACCGCTGAGCCAAACCAGCCAGGGCAGAGATGTTTCTTTTTAATAGAACTTCAAAAAATTTCTGAATTAAATCAGTCAGCTTTGTATCATGTAAATATATACCTGCATTTATTTGTTATTAGTAGTAGTATACACCTTGAAGAGATGTGCAAAAGCATGGAAAAGGCATGCAAATATAAGGAAACAACTTTGAGTAAAATGGCTAGACAGAATTTGCTGAGCTATCTGAGAAAAGAATGGTGACAGAAAGTGGAATGTTAGACAACATTTTATTTTATTTCATTGTTATATTTTTTAATCTTCACTCGAGGATATTTTCCCATTGATTTTTTTTCAGCTAGGGAAGGAGGGAGACGGAGAGAGAGAGAAACAACAATGTGAGGAAGAGACATCAATTGGTTGCCTCCGCACAACCCTGACTGGGGCTGGGGACTGAACCTGCAATCAAGGTATATGCCCTTGACCAGGAATCGAACCTGTGACTCTTTGGTCCACAGGCTGACACTATAACCGCTGTGCCAAACCGGCTAGTGTATGCACAACATTTTAAGTCACACCCTCTGGATTGCTTTCTCATTCTAACATTTGCATGTATCCACCGTAAATCGGTTCAGCCTTACCATCTGTGGTTTATAGTTTAAAGGCACCACATGTAAGTAGGAGGTTTTCTAAATTCTACTTCCATAGATTTTGTGACATTAAGCTACTACCATTTTCTTTTCTTTTTTTTTTTCTATCATCACCCGAGGACATTTTTGCATTTATCTTCAGGTAGAGCGGGAGGGAGAGGAAGGGAGGAAGAGAGAGAGAGAAACATCAATGTGAGAGATACACATTGATTGGTTGCCACCCACACGACCCCATCCGGGGCCGAGGACAAACTGCAACAGAGGTACGTGCCCTTAGTGGAAACCAAACCTGGGTTTCTCTGGATTGTAGGCTGACGCTCTAACGGCCAGGGCTAAGCTACCATTTTCCACCAACACACATCACATTGTATTGAGGAATAGCAGGGGATTGCTTTACACATAGGATTGGTTATAGGACTGGTTTATGTTTAGGGCATATTAAGAGACATGGAGGCACATTTCTCTGCTGAATGAAATGACTTACTGTCATGGAAGTACTTGAGATTATTCCCAGGTTTGAAGTGATGCCTACCAAGGAAATTCGTGAGAGACTCAATACCCAAGGTTTTTATTGGGCTTTGGGTGAGGGGGACAGTTACGTAGGCAACCTCTGCCTACCACCAAACTTCCAGATTCTTAGAAGGAAAGCAAGTGTTTGATGTAAACCATGCTGGACAGATATTCAAGGCACAGAATCTCCTTTATTGTTTAGAGTGTTGGCACTCTTTCCCTAGAACATAGGAAAATTCTGTATTCACAAACACTAGCCAAGAGCCAATCTTGCAAGTCAGCATTTCTGATGGCAGCTATGGCCTCTTATGTTAACTTCTTTTAATCCTTACCCGAGGATATTTTTCCATTGATTTTTAGCTAGAATGGGAAGAGGAGAGGGAGAGAGAGAAACATTGATGTAAGAGAGAGACACATCGACTGGTTGCCTCCTGCATGATCCCGACTGGGGCCAGGGATTAAACCCAAAACCGAGGTAGGTGTGCTTGACCAGGAATCGAACCTGCGACTCTTTGTCTGAGGTCCAACACACTAACCACTGAGCCAAACCCACCAGGGCTACGTTAACATTTTTCGGCATACTTACTGAGTGATAGTTTTTATATTTGAGCAAGTCATTTTCATATTCTTTTTAAAGCTTGTCTTTTTTTTTTATAGCTGCCTCTAATATTAAGTTCCAAAATAAATTCATCTAAGATGGAAATACACTAATTCATGGGCTGGTAAACCTTTAACTGGATCTGCTCCCTGTTTTTGTAAATACAGTTTAATTGGGATACAGCCACAGTCATTTATGTAATTACTTTCAAACTACAAAGGCAGATTTGAATAACTGCTAACAGATGGATTTTGAAGTCTAAAATATTTTCTATCTGGCCCTTGGCAGAAAAAGATTAATAAAGGTAGCATTTTATTTTATTAGTTTTATTTATTTATTTATTTTTATTTTTATTTTTTTTAAATCCTCACCCGAGGACATTTTTCCATTTTTTTGTTCAGATAGAGTGGGAGGGAGAGAGAGGAAGATAGAGAGAGAGAGAGAGAAACATTGATGTGAGGGACACATTGAGTGGCCGCCACCCACACAACCAACCAGGGCCAGGGAAAAACTGCAACCAAGGTACGCGCCTGTAGCGGGAACTGAACCCGGGTCTCTCTGGACTGCAGGTCGACGCTCTAACCACTGAGCGAAACCGGCCAGGGCTAGTTTTATTTTTTATTTTTCACTTTTTGGTCAAATAGGAATTAAATATTTATTATCTGATAATGATTTTAGTTTGTTTTGCTGTAACAAATAATTGAAGAAAGAGTGTTTTCAGGGAGGAAAAACTGACACATTTAGAAGGTTCCCAGAATTGGACAATGTTTATGAATAGAGCTTCTAACACCTGAATTTTCACACTCTACACCACGAACTCTCAAAATGACCACCTAGCTTCTACAACACAACAACTTTTCAACCAAGTGGTGTCAGCCAAAGGTACAGTGAGGAAGACTCAAGTGAAGAGTGAAATGGCAGCATAATCCCTGAGGAAGGAGCCGTGGCAGCTTACAACTAAGGAGTTCTCTGAAAGTATCAATGCAATAAGTGACATACAGACCTGAATTTTCTCTATTTGTGTAGTGTTTAACATTTATGTTAAAGTGATTAATAATTTTTGTGGTGAATTTTAGAGGAACAAAAGACAAACATCACACAGCCACCAGCCAAGCACCTAATAACCAAACCCTAAAGTAGCTTTGATATTCCTCAGGCAAGCCTTTGGCCTAAGAGAGAGATAACCAACCTGGATATGGCTGAATAAGGACTTAAAGTCAAAATAACTAGCAAAGAAAAATACACAATCAATGACTTGATGTTACATATGGCTGTAATGTAGAAAAACTGTAAACTGCAATTTAGTGTTAATACTAATCAGAGACTTCAGAAAACTAGCAAGGCCTAAACCATAAGGATAAATATACCTTATGTTCTAAGTCTGCCAGTTTCGGATTTAAACTATATATTCATGTCTTGTAGAGTACACCCTGAACAAAATGCACAGCTAAAATAAAGGAGATAGAAGGTACCCAAAACTTAAGACAAGAGCATATGTACATAAAAATCCTTACTGGAACCATAGAACTTAGTGAATGAAGGCCATTCTACTGAAGTTTTCTTTTCATCTTAAAATCCTTTTATCTAGCAATAAGTTAAATTAAAGACAGACAGCTCCACTTGCATTAATCTACAGAATAGTCCATATGCCGGTGTGAGGATTCTTATTCCAATACCAGTACAGCTAGCCTGATTTTCCACTAGTGATATTTTGGCAAATATGTCAAAGAGGCGATCAAAGACAGGACAAATTGTGAGTTTCTCCCTAGGAAGGTCATCCTGCCCTTTTCCTCTTCCACCCGACCCCTAAACTAATGGGAAAAAAATAAAGAGTGCAGTAGTAGCATCAGGGTGCACTGCCAGTCCACATTGGGGCCTTAATTGTTGCCTTCTCCACCATCGTCGTCTTGCTGATTAGCTTGTCCAGAGCGTTAGGTTATCGCGAAGGAGCTGCATGATGAGAGTGGAGTCCTTATAGGAGTCCTCATTGAGAGTGTCCAGCTCAGCAATGGCATTGTCAAAGGCGGTCTTGGCCAAGGGGCAAGCTTGCTCTGGGGCATTCTGGATCTCATAGTAGTTAAGAGCCAGGCCTGATCTAATAGGGTGAGTAGGCTGCATCTGCTACTTGCTGATCTCATGGGCTTCACTTTAGGCATTCTCAGATGATTCCACAACAGTGGCCTTTTTCTCTCCAGGGGCTACTTCAGCCAGGTAGTGATAATAGCCCCCTTTCATCTTCAGGTAAAACACTTTGCTCTCATTGCAATTCTTGATCAGGTAGTTATCTAGCAGACTATAGAACAACCATCATTCAAAACCACCTGAAATCAAGCTGAATGGAAGTCCTACAACTATGAAATTAAAGAAAAAACCACATTGAGACTGGTAGGAGGAGGGTAGCAGGGGTGGGGGGATGGAGGCACGGACCACCAATGTGTGGTGGATAAAAATCAGGAGGGATACCTCAGCTGTGAAGGTCCTCCCTGAGGAGTGAGGGGTCCCTGTCCCACACCAGGCTCCCAGCTCAGGGTTTCAGTGCCAGAAAGAGAAGTCCCCGTAACTTCTGGCTTTAAAAACCAGCAGGGTTGAGGCTGAAAGAGCTGAGGCCTCTGGAGTCCCAAGCAGTTCCTCTTAAAGGGCTAGCACATGGACTTACTCAGACTCACATCCTTCCAGCTCCAGCATGGGGGAGGAAGCTTGAAAGGCACCAGAGACATATGGGAAAGAACTGAGTTGTTCGGCATTGGGGCGAGAGTGGAGAAGCAGCTTTCTCCCAGACAGACGTGCTGGTGGAGGCCCTTGCTCCTTTGGTGAACTCTTCCCTCAGGGAGCTGGAAGATGGCTGCCATATCTGGGACTCCAGCAACCTGGTTCATACTATTTACTCCTGCCTGGTGATTCCCTGAGGCCCTGCCCCACCCAACTTTCAGGCCCACCCAAGCTGTTCCCAGTGGCTTTATATAGGAATGGCCTGTCTTGACCCCTGTTTCAGATTTTCCTAAATTCTCTCAAAAAAGCAGCTGGCCTCAGCAAGCCCCATACCTCTTGCTAAGTGGCCCCAGGCCTGTCACTAGGAGCAGCCACCTTTGGTTCACAATTTGGTTTTGCCTGGTACCTCCAAGCCCAGCACAAGTAACAGCCATCTGCAGATTGATTTGTAGCTTATGCCTGGTGGCCCTGGGTAGAACACAGGCAGTGGCTGACCTTGCCCCAGAGCCAGTACACCCAATGGACAGCTTCAGACCATGACAGAGCCCCACCACCCAATCACCTCCATAAGCAACACAGTCAAGGAGTGGACTCCATGGGTACCAGAGCCCTGCTGAAGTAAGCCTTGCTCTGTGTACTGGGCCTGTGCACAGCTGGTCCTCCAAGAAAGTCAGAGGTCAGTGGGCACAGCCAGTCCTTGCAGCTTATCAGCCTGAGTAAATCTCTCCCATTGATGTGCCAACAGCAATTTTGACTCAATTACAACAGAAGAGTATACAGTCCACACGAGGGGTGTACCTGGAGGGCACAGCTGGGACAGGACACCTAAAACAATAAGCCAATCTAGGAAGCCTAGGAGGCATAGCAACTCTACCTAATACATAGAAACATGTATTATGTATTAGAGAGGCAACCAAATTAAGGAGACAAAGAAACATGCCCCAAATGCAAGAACAACCAAATTCCAGGGAAAGAACTAAACGAGAAGGAGATAAGCAATATAGCAGATGCAGAGTTCAAAACACTGATTATAAGGATGCTCAAGGAACTTAGTGAGGGTCTCAGAGCATAATAAAGGACCAGTCAGAAATGAAGGAAGCACTAACTGAAGTAAAGAATAATTTACAGGGGATCAATAGTAGAGCAGGTAAAGCCAACAGGGAAATCATTGATTTGGAATATAAGGAAGCAAAAAACACCAATCAGAACAGCAAAAAGAAAAAAGAATCCATAAAAATGGCAGTATAAGGAGCCTCTGGGACAACTTCTAGCATACCAAAGTTTGCATCATGGGGATGTCAGAAGGAGAGCAGAGAGCAAGAAATTGAAAACCTGTTTGAAACAATAATGTCACAAAAATTCCCTAATTTGGTGAAGGAAACAGACATACAAGTCCAGGAAGCACAGAGGGTCCCAAACAAGATGAACCCCAAGTGGCCCACACCAAGACACATCATCATCAAAATGCAAAAGGTTAAAGACAAAGAGAATCTTAAATGAAGCAAGAGAAAAGCAGTTATCTACAAGGGAGCTCCCATAAGACTGTCCCCTGATTTCTCAAAAGAAACTTTGCAGGCCAGAAGGGAGTGGCAAGAAATATTCAAAGTGATGAAAAGCAAGGACCTACAACCAAGATTACTCTATCCTGCAAAGCTGATAAAGGGTTTCCCAGACAAGAAAAAGCTAAAAGAGTTTATCACCATGTATTTATGGCAATAAATACATATCTATCAACAATTGAATCTACAAACAAAATGAGCAAGCAGAACAGACAGACTCATAGATACAGAGAACTTTTTATTGATTGCCAGATGGGAGGGGAGTTGGGTGAAAAAGATGAAGGGATTAGGAAGTATGAATTGGTTGTTAGACTGAGAAACCTCAAAGAGAAGTGAGGGTTGGGCTGGAAGAGATAAACGAAAGAACCTGTATGTGTATATGCACAACTAATGGACACAGACAATAGTGTGGGGAAGGCAGGAGAGAGGTGGGAGGGGGAGGAAGGGGCAATAGGGGATAAAGAAGGGACAGATGTAATACATTCAACAATAAAGATAAGTTTAAAAAAAAAAAAAAAAGTGACTAAAATTGAAGGATACCACCCTGGTCAGATAGCTCAGTAGGTTAGAGCATCATCCCTATACGCCATAGGTGGCATTTCAGTCCCTGGTCAGGGCACATAGAAGAATCAACCAATGTATGAATAAATAAGTGGAGTAACAAATCAATCTCTCTCTCTCTAAAACTAAGTAAAAAATAATAATAATAATAATAAAATTCAAGGAGGCCTACAATGAAGTAAAAAAATGGTTGAGCCCTGGCTGGTTTGGCTCAATTAGAGCATCCGCCCTCAGACCTAAGGGTCGTGGGTTTGATTCTCAGTCAAGGGCACGTATCTGGGTTGCAGGTTCAGTCTTCAGCCTCGGTCAGGGTTGTGCAGGAGGCAACCAGTCGATGTTTCTCTTTTCCACCCTCCCTTCCACTCTATCTAAAAATCAATGGAAAACTATACTCGGGTTAGGATAAACCAAAAAAAAAAAAAGTCAAGGCCCTGGCCTGGTAGCTCAGGTGAATGGAACGTAGTCCTATATACCACAAGATTTTGGGTTCGATTCCCAGTCAGAGTACATACTTAGGTTTTGAATTCAATCCCTGATCGGGGCACATACAAGAGGCAACCAATCAATGTTTTTCTCTCAAAAAAAGAAAAAAGAGAAAGAAATCACTGGAAACATCTTCAGGTGAGGATTTTTTTAAAAAAGTGGTCAAAGAGGTATGGACATGTTGAGTTCATAGGCAAAAAATACATAAGTATATCAATGATGCTTAACTGAACTTAGATAATTTTATTTTGTATCGTTTATACCATTTTCTACCACTTAAACTAGGAAGGGTAAAAGTTTGATATTATAATATATTAAAAAGCATGTGTTCTATCTATGGATAGAAATTTTGTCAAATTTTAAAATATAGTTAACTTTAGAATCGGCAGCTCTATTTAGCTACTGATTCTGTAGATATACTTACACTTGAGCAAAGTGTCTTATATAAAAATATAGTTATTGCAATATTGTTTTCCATAGCAAGAGACTGGAAAACTTAAAGTCCATTAACACAGTACTAGTTTTAGAATATGATACCTGTGTACACTGGGTTACTATGTGGTCTTAAAAATAAAATAGCTCTTTACACATGAATGTGGAGTAGTCTCTGAAACCTTAATGGTTTATGAAGAAGCAAGATAGGTAGATATAGAGTGTGTGTGTGTGTTTCTCTGTATATGTATGTATATTGAAATACTATCTCTAAAGTTATTCAAGAAACTGGACACATTGTCTCTGGAGTGAATCTGGGGACAGGGTGGAAGAGTGATTGATAGTCATATACATTTTTGTACCTTTTGAATTTTGTAATATTACATATGTTAGTGAAAAAAATTAATAAATTTTTCAGAAGTTTAGTAGATTATCTGTAAAGCAACAAAATATAAGTGTCTCTTAGCTAAAGGTCAGATGCATATAGCAACTCCATCCTATTCTTACCCACTTCCAAACCAATATCTTTAGCATAAACTGAATCTCCTTTCTGCTTAAGAAATTAGCTACAGCCCAGCCAGTGTGGCTCAGTGGATTTTGAGCATTGCCCCATGGACTGAGAGGTCCTGGTTCGATTCCTGGTCAGGGCCCATGCCTGGGTTTCTGGCTTGATCCCCAGTGGGGGGCATGCAAGAGGCAGCCGATCGATGTTTCTTGCTCACATTGATATTGTTCTCTCTCTCTCCCTTCTTCTCTCTAAAAAATCAATAAAACATATTTTTTTAAAAATTAGCTACAAACACATTCAGGCATCCTTTTCCATTTATCAAATACAGGGGTGGTCAAAACTGGGTTTGTAGCTGTAATACAAATAATACAATAATTAGTAAATAATAGAAGCCCTGGCTGGTGTGGCTCAGTTGTTTGGAGCATTGTCCCGTACACTGCATGTTTGTGCTTTTGATTCCCCAGTTGCAGGTTCAGTCCCCTGCTGGGGTGTATATAGGAGGTAACCAATTGATGTTTCTCCCTGTACATTGCACGCACACACACATGCACAGAGAACACTGATGGGATTCAGCTAGATAGTGGTTGGGAGAAACTGGTGGTGACTATACCTCTTCACTACCAGTGATGGTGGAAGAGGGAGCTCTAATCCCGTGTGCCAAAATAATTGATTGAATTGATTGTTGCTTGCTTTTTCTTTACCCTTTCTTTACATATTTTCTAGACTTTAAATCTCAGCCTGAACCATCCCCAGTTCTTAGCCAGTTGAGCCAGCGACAGCAACACCAGATGCAGGCAGTCACTATTCCTCCTCCTGGGTTGGAGTCCTTTCCTTCCCAGGTAAAATTACGGGAGTCAACACCCAGAGAAAGTACCTCCACTGTGAATAAACTCTTGCAGCTTCCCAGCCTGACTGTCGAAAACATCACTGTGTCTGCCCACCAACCACAGCCTAAACACATCAAACTCCCTAAGCGGCGGATACCTCCAGCTTCTAAGGTGGGTATTGCATCGTGAAGCCCTAGTCCCAAGGTGGATATATTTTAACATTTAGCTTAAGTGTTGGGTTAGCAAGTCTCAGAAACTTGCTGTATCTTTCAAGCACATAGCTTACTGCTTTTTGAGGAATTGGCAGTTTCTGAGTGACTGGGCTAATGTTAGAGGGAATGGGTTTGTGCTGAGACAGGAACTATTAATTCAAGTCACAGGATCTGGCTCAAAGAATCTGTTGATCTTGTGTGTTTAGCAGTGCCACATAGATGGAGGATGAGTGTGTTTAGCTGTGCCACATAGATGGAAGGTGAGGATTGACCAGATAATACTTAAGCCTCTCAATCTGTGGGTCGCTACCCCTTTGAGTGTCAAACGACCCTTTCACAGGGGTTGCCTAAGACATAACAATAGCAAAATTACAGTTATGAAGTAGCAACAAAAATAATTTTATGGTTAGGGTTCACCACAACATGAGGAACTGTATTACAGGGTCGCGGCATTAGGAAGGTTGAGAACCACTGCTTTAAGGACTTCTCCTTTACTCATCCACAATCCCCTTCCTTATTGCTCTAAAGAAGCAGTTGGTAGCAGTAACCATTCTCCTGTTAACTTAATTTTTCTTTGCTCTTTTCCCTTTGTCTCTTTTTAAAAATCCTATTCCTTCTGGTCTTTTCTTCCTTGTTCCTCAGGCCTGCCACCTGTGCCCTGAGAACCCAGTGACCGTTTGGCTCTGGTATAGGCCTTTGGGACTTGGGATCCATGACCTCTGTTCCTGACAGCTTTGCTTTTTCAGATCCCAGCTTCTGCAGTGGAAATGCCTGGCTCAGCAGATGTGACAGGATTAAATGTTCAGTTTGGCGCCTTGGAATTTGGATCAGAATCTTCCCTCTCTGAATTTGGATCAGTTGCAAGCAGTGAAAATAGTAACCAGATCCCCATCAGTTTGTATTCAAAGTCTTTAAGGTACACAACTTTGCACTTCTCTGGTTTTAAGTGAAGTAAGTCTTTTGTTTGCCTGGTAAAATAAAATAGAGCCGAAGAAATCACCTAGTGGAGACAGACAATACACCCTGTGGTAGTGGGTTTGTGCAGCCATCATCAGTATCTAATCCAGAACTTTTCTTCCATCACCCTAAAAAGAAACCCTGTGCCTATTAGCAATCACTCTCAATTTCTCCCTCCCCTTAGACCTTGGCAACCAATCATCTGTCTCTATTTGCCTATTCAGGACATTTCATTTAACTAGAATCATGTAGTTTATGGCCACTTGTGACTGACTTCTTTTACTCAGCGTAGTGTTTTAAGGTCCATCTATGTTGTAGCATGTATGCATTTTGTTTCCAAATAATAATCTTATTGTGCCAATCTTTCCCATTTTGTTGACCCATTCATGAGTTGATGGACATGTGGGTTGTTCCCCCTTTTTGGCGTGGTAAATCATGCTGCTATGAACATCCAGTTACAGATTTTGTGTGCTTTTGGTTCTTTGGATGTATACCTGGAAATTGCTGGGTTATATGATAATTTATATTTAATCATTTGAGGAAGCATCGAACATTTTCTACAGTGGCTGCAGCATTTTACATTTCTATGAGTAATCTCTGAGGGATGCAGTTTCTTCACATCTTGCCAACACTTTCCTTCAGTGGGATATTTTATAACTAGAGAAACCCAGATTTTAGATTTTGTTTTATTAGTTAATTTTTCCACTTTCCAGAGCCCAAACCTGCTCTTTGCTTGGGTTCCCTTTCTAAAGATGGCCTCAGACATCTGGATTCCTTAAAGATTCTTAAAGCTGTCCCTTTGCCTGCCAATTAAATTAGGTGGGTCTAGTTTGGGGGGGGAGGGTAGGGCTGGACTGGGTTGTTTGAATCTTCAGTGCATTGTTAATACATTTAAAGAATATAGTAGTATAAATGTGTGGTTGCAGGCATGTTTATTTAGAGTATGACAAAGTAAAGTGATGAAAGAGTTCTACTTCATGAAGCCATGTAAATTGACACAAATTTATGTCTAATACCTTTTATTCTTTGTAGTGATTCTTTGAATACCTCTCTACCAATGACCAGTGCAGTACAGAATTCCACCTATACAACTTCAGTCATTACCTCCTCTAGTCTGACTAGCTCATCCCTGAGCTCCACTAGTCCAGTAACAACGTCTTCCTCCTATGACCAGAGTTCTGTGCATAACAGGGTTGCATACCAAAGCTCTGTGAGTCCATCGGAGTCATCTACAGGAACTGTCACAGTAAGTGGTCTTTCAGGTTCCTTGTCCTATTTATGGAGCTCAATGTGTAGTTTGGGAAATTAAGCTTTTTTTTTTTTTAATCCTTACCGAGGATATGTTTATTGATTTTTTTTTTTTTTTCTTGAGAGAGAGAGAGAGAGGAAACATCAGTGAGAGAGAGAAACATTGGTTGCCTCCCATACATTCCCAACCTTACATGCCCTGAGTGGAGATTGAACTCGAAACCTAGATATGTGCCCTGACCTGGAATCTAACTTACAACCCTTTGGTGTACAGGATGACATTCCAACTAATTGAAACACCCGGCCAGGGCCAGAAATTAAGCTTTTTGATTGAGACTTTCTTTTACAAATTTCTTAACCTTTTGAGTAGAATTCTTGTAGTCTGTTGAACTTGCTAACAGTAGGCTTCTCATTTGAAACCTGCATTTCAAGCACTGTAAACACAGGAGTACATGTAAATGGACCCAGGCAGTTATTATAAGGATAGTATGACACACCTCAAATTATTCATAGTGGTTTGGATGGGATAAGAGAGAACTATGATCTTATCTGTAATATTTTAGTTTTCTGTAAGGCAGAGGTGTTCAAGCATTACTGATGAAAGCTACTTTAAAAAATAGATAATATAAAAAATATTAAAAATAGCTTAATTGGCCTAGTAGAAATTTGGGTACATTTTCAAGTCTTCTTCTAAGCAGGAGATATTTGTACATCCCTACTTAAAAGTTTTATTTTGTTGTTGTTTTTTAACCTTCATTTTTTTGTTTTACAGCTTTTATGTTAGATAGTTTCCTCAAATATTTGGTGACTCCAGGCTGTCTACTTAACACTAAAAGGTTAAAGGCTGATTTGGGGTGGGGGGGTGTAGGTTGTTGAATGTGGGCTTTGATGTGAGACAGCATAGGTGGGCTATTTCTTTATGTTTACTCCTTTGTCAGCCCCTTTGGGCCTTTTCAGTTGAGCTTGTTTAGATTTTCCAGGGACTGCTCTTTTAATCTCTCCCCTATAGAGCCTATGCCTGTCAGTGTCATAAGAACCTAGTGGGAAAAGAAGGCTATCCTTGGAATATTCATTTTGTCTACATTGACTTAATTCATCTGCTTTTTGTAGTATCCCTGGCCATGTCTCACCCTCTTGGTAACTTATGGGAAATGGTGGGAGGGGGCATTGACCTTATTGTGCAGAAGGTGGGAGGGAGGAGAGGGGGGATCTGATTCTGTACAGTCTTTAAGCAAATTCGTCTTCATTTAACCCGCTTCATTTAACCGAGGCCGCTCCCACTTCCAAAATTATCTGATATATAGAAATACTGAGTTGCTTGGTATGGTTCTTTGTTTTCTGGTTTTTGCTACTGCTGGCTCAGGATTTGGTTTTACCAGGCCAGCTAATTCACCTATATTTGTTTTTCTGGGTTTACTTTATTTTTTTTCCTTTATTGATTTGAGAGAGAGGGAAGGGAGAGAGAACATCAACTGGCTGCCTCCTGCATGCCCCCCACTGGAGACTGGGCCCACAACTCGGGTGTGTGCTCTGACTGGGAATTGAACCAGCAACCTTTTGGTACATGGGTTGACACTCAACCACTGAGCCACACTGGCCGGACTGGGTTTACATATTTTTTAAAAGCCACATTTTTTTGGTTTGTCCTCTCTAACATGAAGTTTATTTCTGTGCTTTCCAATACAGTAACCACTAGCCACATGTGGTAGTTTATTTAAATTAAATAAACAAGCCCTGGCTGGTTTGGCTCAGCGGTTAGAGCATCAATCTTCAGACTGAAGGGTCTCGGGTTCGATTCCAGGTCAAGGGCACGTACCTGGGTTGCAGGTTCAATCTCCAGCCCCGGTCAGGGTTGTGTAGGAGACAACTAATCGAAGTGTCTCTCTCACTTCAATGTTTCTCTCTCTCTCTCCCCATCCCTCTCTTCCACTCTATCTAAAAATTAATGGAAAGTTATCCTCAGGTTAGGATTAAAAATAAAATATAATAAACAAAAGTTCAGTTCCTCAGACACACTAACCATATTTAAATGCTCAATATCCAGATATGGTTAGTAGTTAGAATATAAGACCATGCACATACTGAATATTTCCATTATTGCAGAACGTTCCCTTGGATAGTGCTGGTCTGTACAGTTTCTTTTTTTTTTTTCTAGGTTTTATTTATTTATTTATTTATTTATTGGCACATGCCCCTAGCGGGAACCAAACCCGGGACTCTCTGGTCCGCAGGCCGACGCTCCAACCGCTGAGCCAAACCGGCCAGGGCACTGGTCTGTACAGTTTCTAAACATAAGTCAGACTACTTGATATCCAAGCTTAATCTTTGGTATCTCCTCGACATCTCAGTTCCAGCTCTAACTTTACTATTACTGTTCACCTCATTCCTTGCCTGGCTAGCTAAACTAAAACCCCTATAGGTTTCTGATTTTCCTGACCATTTATACTTCTTTACATTTGCTACCGCCATCTTTCTGCCTAGAATTTTCCCCATCACAAATAATGGGACTCCTGTGTTGTGTTAGTTTGTCTGTTGTTTGTGTTTTAAAAATTATTTTCAATGTGGAATGAAATATTTTTCCGGTCTGATGGCTGTTGTTCCTTGTTCCCCTTTTCTAGTCTTTGTGTCTGGTATAGTTTTGAGAAGACTTCTTTGTATGTCAGGGTTTGTGCTATTCAGGATGCATATGCTCGGTGTTGTGTGTGTATGTTTAGTGATCAGTGATCTTAGTTTAGAGGGAGGCAGAATAGCAGAACTCTGATTGCTCTCTACCTGTCATTATATATTGGCAAGTTGTGTTGTTTCCCACTCCCTACCTTTAACCTTTTTTTTTTAAATCCTCACCTGAGGCTATTTTTGCATCTATCTTCAGATAGAGCGGGAGGGAGGGAGGGAGAAAGAGAGAGAGAAACATCAACGTGAAAGAAGCACATCGATTGGTTGCCACTCACACAACCCCAACCAGTGCCGTGGACGAACTGCAACCGAGGTACATGCCCTTAGCAGGAATCAAACCCGGAACTCCCTGGTCCACCGGCCGACGCTCTAACTGCTGAGCCAAACTGGCCTGGGCCCTTCCTTTAACCTTTTAACTCATGGTTGTTTTTTTTTTTGTCCTAGCAGTTCTATTTTATTGTTTACATTTCTTATAAATAATCTCAGATTGTTTTAAGAATAAAATGTGTTGTTAAGTAACATTTCATGAACAGAAATTATACTATATTTGGGTTAATGTAGAGGTAACAGCTATAAAGTTTCTCTTTTTCTTTAGTAGTTTTGACATTTGTAAGAAGGAAATTTCTGTTAGCTTCTTTCTCCTATTTAGGGACAGTGTTTGAACCTTATAGACTCCATTATCATTCACTCTATGCCATGTCTCCCCTGCTCAGTCTGTGGAAGCAAATTTTTTCCATGTGAGTCAGTTCTAATGAAATGTCTTATGTTTAACTCAAACCAGTTGTTTTCATGTTCTGCTCTTTTTGGGACTTCCACACTATCCTAATCCATTCTTCCTTCACCCAGTTTAGAAAATCCATGTTTCAAAGTAGCATCTCGTTTTTTTGCATTTATCTTCAGATAGAGTGGGAGGGAGAAAAGGAGGAAGAGAGAAATATCAATGTGAGAGAGACACATCTACTGGCTGCCACCCATACGACCTCAACCGGGCGGGGGACAAACCACAACTGAGTCATGTGCCCTTAGTGGAAACCGAACCCAGGACTCTTCTGGTTCGCAGGCCGACGCTCCAACCACTGAGCCAAACTGGCCAGGGCATAGCATCTCTTTTTTTTTTTTGAGAACTATTAATGTAAAATATCATTCCTTGTTTGAAAGCTATCTTTTATAATTTGGAAACTTACTTTCTTGCATAAGTGATATTCAGGAGACAGACTATACATGAGACAGAAAGGCTTCTTGTGATTTCATTATAATGAGAGTTCCTAAGTTATTTGTACTGCTTAATAATTTTTAGAACTATTTTTTTTGTGATTTGGACCTTACGTTGTATCATTGTTAACATAAATTCCCAATCTGATTTTCGAAAATGTCAGCTTCTCGAGATTTTTTAAGAATATTTTATATTGGCCTGGCTGCTGTGACTCAGTTGGTTGAGTGTCATCCCATGCACCAAAAGGTCGCTGGCTCAATTCCCGGTCAGGATACATACCGAGGGTGCAGGTTCGATCCCTGGTTGGAGTGCATATGGGAGACAACCAATTGATGTTTCTCTCACATATCAGTGTTTCTCTCTCTCCCTCCCTCTCCTTTTTTCTCTCTCTAAAATCAGTAAAAACATACTTTTTTAAAAAAAAGGAATTTGGCCCTAGCCTGTGTGTTCATTGGTTAGAGCATCAGCCAACAGACTGTCTAAAGGGTTGCAGGTTAGATTCCCGGTTAAGGGCACATACTTGGATTACAGGGTCAATTTCTGGCCCCGGTCAGTGTGCATTTAGAGGCAACCAAATCGATGTTTCTCTTTCCCCCACTTCCCCCCTTCCACTCTCTAAAATTTAGTAGAAAAATATACTTGGGTGAGGATTAACAAACAAATAAAAAGAATTTGTCATATTGCCTCTCATTTTATGAAAAAACAGGCCACTGTTCTTTGATTATGTTTCATGTGTTTGTGGCTAAATCCTAATAGAGAGTCATCTAAGTTTTTTTTTAATTTTTGTAAGTTTACTTTATTTTCTCTTCCTTATAGAATGGACATGGAGGTGGTCAAAATCAGCAGACAATAGACAGTAAGTGTATAAGCTAACTATTTTTGTCATGGCTGGTAGTGGAAACCAAACAAAAAAAGAACATCACTAACTTGACAAAGAACACAATAGGTTAATGGCTAATTCTACAAAAATAGTCCTTTTAAATTTTTCTGATAGTTACTTCTGATTCATTGTTGGTACCCTTTCTTTGGGAGGGTTTAAATGTTCAGCTAGAGATTCCCATGTGACCAGATTGTAGCTGGTGGTTTTCTTAGTAATGAGGTAATAGTTTCATATTATTTTGCCTTGGTCAGACAGCACCTGGAGTGTAGTATTGATTTAAAAGATGCTTTGATCAGAGGAATGGGTTCTAAGATGGTGAAAGGCTTCCACTCCAATAATATGAAGGACTTTTAAAGCAAAAATTGGTGTGCTAGTTCAGGAAAGACATGTTCATTGCCTATAGGTTCTGACAGACTATTGCTAGGAAGAGAGAGATAAAATGTTGCTCACTATAAACACTTGGAAGAAAATGAGCCCCCCCCATTCCACTCCCCCCCCCCCCCCCCAGTTTCAGTACAGAACAGTGATCATTGGAGATAGCCCAGGTTCTTAGCTAGCCTGTCTCTGATGGTTTATGGTGATTTTTATGATCATTCAGAAAGGCAAGTGGATATTGAGTATGGAAGCCAGAAAGACTCTCTCTTTATTTAAGATTTTTTTGGAACATGGACTTGTTGTTTTACCAGACCTGGACTGGGTTAGAGTTGGAATTGAAATGACACGCATGATTTACCCAGAGTTTTGGTATTGCTGGGCTGCCAGAGCTATTTGGCGATACGTAGGTAGCTCTGAGAACATCGTATATCAGAGGAAGTTCTCATTTCACAAGCCATAGTGGCAAGTTTCTTTTGTCTAGACATGGAGTTGAGAACACATGGAGGTGTACTAGATTATTTGGAGATTTTTAAATGAGATAATGAGATATAAAATGTTCGGAAAACATAGTGTGTATTTTAGATACGTACTCTCTCCTCCACCCATTCTCTTTCTTTCATACACACACACACTTGTTCTTCAAGAAGCCTTTTGTGGACCTGTTTTCAGCATGATCCAAGACCCAGGGAGGTAACTTTTGTGGTCTAAGTTTTGGGTCAGGTACATTTGTGGTGTCTTCATTTAATTTCTGTAAAAACAGGTATCATATTTGGAATAAACTGTCAGTAAAAAGCAAGCCTCAGGAAAGTAAAGGCTACTGTAAGAATTGACCACATTGTCTGTTGAACCTGTTGCTGCCTGTGCTTGTTTTCTAATCACTCTTCCTTTTAAAGACTAGTGTGTTTTCTACTGGGCTCGTAGGGAGTGCTGCAGAAGGGTAATGGTCGCTTCTCCTTCTTAACTAGAAAAGACAATGATGCTTTATTTCCAAGCACATATCTGAGTTATATGTGTGGATGGCACTAAAACTGAGTCTTTTCTGCCATTAGAATTGATTGCACTTGTGGTCTTCTGAAAGCCTTATGTGCTCTGAGGTTACTCTCTTCAAGCACATGTGAAGGAAATGCTCCTTGTGCCTTTGAAAGAAGGTGTTGGACAGTGGCTGTGTGTTCTTTCTGCAGATTTTAGGCATGTGTAACTCCACAATGTATGTACGCTGGGCACTCAAACCCCACTGGCTCTAAATTGGCTATGAAGTTTCACAAGGTCACCCTGATTGGGTACTGATTTGATGGAGGGAAAAATGTACTCCCTTGGGTGATCTTGCCCACCAGATTTTGCCTGTCCCATGTTGTGCTTTTTAAGGAAATTTTGCCTTACTTTATGATTATATATATCAAGCTCAGAGCTTCTTTCTGGATGTGGCTTAGGGCTGACCTGGCTTCCTTTAGTTGGGGAAGTATGTCTACATCATAGGACAGTTGTTTATTATAAACATGTCGTTTCCTACTCAGCCTCAGTCCTGTGTGCATGACCATCGTGTGTCCTTTTGATTATTGTATCTCACAGAAAAGAGACTGTCTGGAGACATGCTGGGCATTTTCCATGGGAAATGTAACTATATATGTCTCAGCTGAGCCTGACATATCACAAGACATTGAGCATATTTTAGATATTCACAGTTGGATATGGAGTGAAACAGATCTGTTTCTTACAGCTACTTCATCCGTTCCAGCTCCAAAGACAACAGACCCTCCCTCCACCCTTCCATCTGTGGCCTCCCTGCCCAGCACCAGCCCCTGCAATACACTTCTACCCTCTGCATCTCAGCACACTGCCACTTTGTCCTCGCCTGGTGACCTGTCCAGCAGCTCCCTCTCTCAGCTTAGCAGGTATGGGGAAAATATGGGCCCAGAATGAGAGGCCCACTGGGACAAAGTCCTGAAGCTCTTCCTATGAACAAAACCCACTTGTTCCCTCTAGCACCATGTCCTGGCCTTTTGCAGTAATGCTCTAGAGTAGGTTTGGACTGGGTGGGGTCACCAAAGCACCAAAGACAAAAAGCTTGTATGCTTGAAATGCCACCTGGGAATGGGTGGAGCCAAGGGGTTGCTGCTACTCTAGGGTGCCACTAGCTGCACCTCTCCTCTCAGCTCTGGACTCCTGTCACTGATGCTGAGTGAGATTGATGTTGGATTTCTGAGCATGTCTCTGACTTGCACTTGTCATGGCTTCAGACCAAATTATTATAACAGGGTGTAGGAGAATGGGTTTCAATTGGTTCTTACCCTGGGTTTTCTAAGTAGAGTTCACCTCTTTCTCCCTTTAAGCCAGGAGCAAAAGCATTTGATTTGAATTTTGAATTTGTTGGGACTTCAGGCTCTGATTCTGGCATTTGGGGTTGAACACCGGAGCTTTCTTCCCTCACACACAGATTTAATGGGGTCTCCAAGGCTGTTCTTAGTGCAGTCCTATTCTTTTTCCAGTCTAAAGAGTAGATGATTATGCTGAATGAAACTGGCCCTGGAGATTTCCCAGGTCAGGATGGATGTTCCAGATCCTCGTGGTGGGTGACCCTTTAGATCATTCTAACCATTAGAACACCTGGAGTGGGTTCCTAGGTGATGGAAGTGAAGCTGAGGCTTCCCCTGAAGTGATGGGACAGGCTTATATCTAGCCCACCTAGACACGGTGGCTCCATTTCTGTAGAGTGACTTGGTTGGGTGGACATATGTGGTACTCTGTTTTGTCTTCTAGTTCACTCTCGAGTCATCAGAGCAGCCTCTCCTCTGCGCACACAGCACTCTCTTCCAGCACGCCACACACAGTAAGTGCCCTTTGGTCTCCCCCAGCCCCCATCCTTCTCAGGGAGCTTGGAGCTCAGGCATCTGCAGGTGGGCCTTTAGTTTGTGGATTTTAAATATCGGAGATATTAAAATATCTGAGATAATCTCAAATTGCTTGACTATAATGTCTCGATCTAAGTATGTGGTTTGAGCTGTTGATTTCCTAGGCACCATGGAAGACATCTTATTTTCTAAGTTCATGTCTCTGTGGAGGAATTGCTTCTCTAGACCTGATAATGTGATGGGCAGTGTTGTCAGGTAGTGAATTTACTCCCAAGAATTCACTGAGCTTCATTTGTTATAGGAAACCTTTCTGCCTAGCAGGGGTGATTTATTCTCTGGGAAATGTTATATTGAGGCATTTGCAAACTTTAGAGGAAAGTAGGCTCATTGTTAACTTCAACTTGGGTTCCACTAAAAGTCAACTTTAATGAAGACCATTTTTTCTGGATAACCCTCTGTTACTTTGTGAAGGCCAGTGTAGAGAAGGGAAAAGGGAGAGCTTATGTTAGAATATCCATCATTTGCCATGTTTACACACATATCTCTCTCTCTGAGACTGACAGCCCTGGACCTTACCCCAGTCAATGTAGCTCTATTCTTCTTTGATGGTGGTCATGGTGGGGATTTTCCTACTTCTGGCATTAGGTATTCTGTTCACTGTTAGCTCTGGCCATCTCAGGCCATTTCCCCTAATTCAGAGGCAGAGACTTTGGGAAGGTTGATATTGAAGAACAAAGTCAGGAAGGTGGGAGTGGCAAGAATGGAAGCACAAGTGAGTGCCAACAGGAAGTCCTAATGTGCCAAAGAGTAACCCTATGGTTATTGAAGTATGGCTTCTTGAGATCTGAAGCTGGAAGAAGCACAGTTTCAGTGGTAGAGGTCAGTCTAGATTGTGGTGGGTTGAGGCATGCATGGTTGTGAAATGGTGAGGAGTCAGGGTAGTGGGAGGATATTTAACTAAATGCTAGGAGAGACTTGAGCCTAAAGATTGGAGGGAAGAAAGGTGCCTGAAAGACCAGGCCAGTTTGGCTCAGTGGTGACAGTGTTGGCCTGCCGACCAAGGGTCATGGGTTCCATTCCTGGTCAAGGGCGCGTACCTGGGTTGCAGGCTTGATCCCCAGCCTTGGTCAGGATAGTAGGGGAGGCAACCAATTGATGTGTCTCTCTCACATCGATGTCTCTCTCTCCCCCTCCCTCCCGTTCCCCCGCCCCCATCTAAAAATGTTTCCTCAGGTGAGGATCAACAAAAAAAGAAAAAAAGAGCCTGGCCTGTGCGACTTAGTAGTTGAGCATTGACCCATGCACCAAGAGGTTGCTGGTTTGGTTCCCAGTCAGGGCATATGCCCAGGTTGTGGGCCCAATCCCCAGTGGGGGGCATGCAGGAGGTGGCCAGTCAATGTTCTCTCTTATCCATGTTTCTGTCTTCCTCTCCCTCTCTAAAAATCAATAAGGAAAAAAAATTAAAAGAAAGAAACAAGAAACTTGCCTGAAAAAAAAAGAGCAAAATGTCTCTCCTGGAAGACAGGAGGCTTCTGGCAAGGTTGGAGTGGATGGGTCCCCAAGCAGAGAGGGAAGCTTTGGGTACAGATGAATAGGGAAGTCAGGAAACTGGGGAAATTTGTTTTCTCTGAAGAAGAGATCAAGTCATTTGCTGCAGAATGAGGTGATGGAAAAGGATCAGTTCTATCCTCCCATCAAGATCTAGCTAACATTGAGGCTTTCAAACTCTGATTTTCCAAGTGAAGTATTAGGCATGGTTCTTTGTCATAAAACAACACAGAGCACCACCTTCATATCAGAGCACAAGGTGGATACCTCTGTCCACCTGCCTGTGCCCCATGTTGGGTCAGTGGGAGCCATGAGTTGCCCTGAGCGTGAGCACTGTCTAGCTGACCTCTGTTCTCCGGGCACTGGTGGTCAGAATCCAGTGCTCTTATTCGAATTGGTTAGCAGCACTCTGTGTCTTGTCAAGAAACTCCAGCCCTGGCTGGTTTGGCTCAGCGGTTGGAGCGTTGGCCTGAGGACCAGAGAGTCCCGGCTTCGGTTCCCGCTAGGGGCTTATACCACAAACAAAAAAGAAACTCCAAACAACCATGGCCAGAATTGCTTGTCCAGGGAGTCTACACTTTGTCAGTGTGACAGAATTGCCACATTGTTAATATAGTTGTAACATTTATTAATGAAAGGTATCAAAAAGTATATACTGAAAACGTATTCTCTCATCTGCTTGGTTCTACCCCTCTTCCTCCTATTTGCTTGATCCTCTAGAGTTCTTTTTAACCTATAAAATAGTAAATGCATACACACAATCATTTTTGTCCATTTTCTATAACAGAAATGGGATATTTCATACATAGTGTCCTTCAACATTTTCTCCCACTTAATAAGTATATCTTTGAGATGTTTCTGTGTTGAAACACAGTTCTTTGTTCTTTTTTCACAGTTGTCCTGAATTACAGTATTTAATCAGTCCTCCACTCTTTAGGACCATTTTCAGTCCTTTTTAAAGTTTATTTTCTTTATTGATTTTTAGAGAGGAAGGGAGAGGGAGAGAGAAACATCGATGAGAGAGAACATTGATTGGCTTCCTCCTGCATGTCTCCCACTGGGGATCTGGCCCACAACCTAGGCATGTGCCCTGACAGGGAATCAAACTGGCGACCTCTTGGTGCATAGGTTGACGCTCAACCAGTGAGCCACACCAGCCGGCCCTGGGCTTCTTTGTTCTGGTTTGGAGGCTGGTCTCAGTCTTAAAATATTTTTTCTTTATTGCTCTTTTATTTTTATTTTATTTTATTTTTATTATCCTCACCCGAGGACATTTTTCCATTTTTTGTTCAGATAGAGCGGGAGGGAGAGAGAGAGAAACATCGATGTGAAGGGACACATCGAGTGGCTGCCACCCGCACGACCAACCAGGGCCGGGGACAAACTGCAACCAAGGTACGTGCCCTTAGCGGGAACCGAACCCAGGTCTCTCTGTACCGCAGGCCGACGCTCCAACTGCTGAGCCAAACCGGCCAGGGCTGGTCTCAGTCTTAACATAGCCTTTCCCTCCCTATTTGTGCCTTTCTCTGCCCAGCCACCACGCATCTCTTCCACCTTATTATTAGCTGAATTCGAGCAGCTAGGTAAGATTCCTGGAACTCAGGCTCTTCAGAGCTTTCTTCTGGGTTTTGCCCTTTCTTCCTAGGTGGATCTTGTCAAGTAGGCGTCAGGGCAGGCCTTGCCCTTCTAGGTAGGCCCTGGTGGCCTGCAAAATGTCATCCGGTTCTGGAGCAAAGGCCTCTTGGTCACCTATGACTTTCAGATCAGAGTAGCTAAGAAGCTGGACTGCCTGTGGCCTCTTTTCAACTCTCCTGAGACTACTTGCTTTTCTGTGAGGTGGATTCTAACCTCATGCTCAGATGGTCTGTGTTCATTTAAGATTTACTTGGGGTTTTTATGCCATGTGGAATATACCAGAACATGGGCAAATGTAAGAAGTTTTAGGAGGGTTTTGGTTATAAAGCTCGGGTTTGTTTTTTTTATATCCTTACCCGAGGATATTTTTTCCATTTTTTGTTCAGATAGAGAGGGAGGGAGGGAGGGGGAGAGAGAGAGAGAGAGAGAGAGAGAGAGAGAGAGAGAGAGAGAGAAAGAAAGAAACATCGATGTGAAAGGGACACATCTAGTGGTCGCCACCCGCACAACCCAACCAGGGCCAGGGACAAACCGCAACCGAGGTACATGCCCCTAGCAGGAACTGAACCTGAGTCTCTCCAGACCACTAGCTGACGCTCTAACCGCTGAGCCAAACCGGCCAGGGCTATATCTCGGTTTTAATAGTTTTGATACTTAGCTTAAAAGTTGTGTTCTGGCCCAGTTGGTGTGGTTCAGCGGACTGAGCATTGTCCCATGGGCTAGAGGTCTTGGTTGAATTTCTGGTCAGAGCATATGCCTGGATTGCGGGCTCCATTCTGCATACACATGTGTGCCTGTGTGCGTGCCTCTGTGTGTGTGTGTGTGTGTGTGTGTGTGTGTGTGTGTGTGTGTGTGTGGTGGGGGGATTGTGCAGGAAGCAGCCAATCAGTTCTCTCTCACATCAATGTTTCTTTCTCTCTGTCTCTAAAAAAATCAATAAAAACATATCAAAAATAAATAAAAAGTTGTGTTCTGATGGCCTAATCTAGCTTCAGTGTGAGAGACTACAGAGACTGTGTGGTAATGTAAGCACTGAGCACAGAGCCCCTCAGGTCAGAATCTCAAGACTATAGGCCCAAATGCCAGGCCAGGTTTTCTTGCCTCTCATGCTTTGCCCCAGATCCATATGTCCTGGCTTTTTATTTTGCCAGCACTCCAGTGTGGAGAGCACCCCTTCCCTCCAGTCCTCAGCCACCTTCTCAACAGCTACAACTTCTGTCTCGAGTGCCACATCCTCAGGGCTCAGCCTTTCGAGCAGCATGAACACAGTGAACAGCCTCTGCCTGGGTGTAACCACTGTGAGTGCCCCCAGCAGCAGTACCAGAGTAACACCCTTGGTGACCTCAGGTATGTGCCCCAGAGGCCTTTCCCACCTACCCCCAGCCCCTCATTGGGTAGGCAGGAAGCAGTTCTCAAAGGTGCACATTTGGCTTCCAGGGAGGATGGCCAGAAATTGACAGGGCATGGTGGGCAGCCACGCACATCAGATAATCAGTCTCCTTCCAGCCCTGCCGTTGATCACTTGTCCTATTTGTTCCACTGACGTCTTGAAGCCCAGTTCTTCCAGTGCTGATGTGGGTGGGGATGGGTGAAATTAGTCTTTCTGGATGGGTTCCCCTGGGCAGGATTCCATGGCAGCATTGTGCTTCTAGCTCCCCAGTCTTTTCTGTTCTCACTCATCCCTGGAGCTACAGTGACCTGGTGACATAGAGAGGCCAGGGAGCAGCTATCACTGGTTATTTTTGATTATTGTATGTGACTGATAGCCTGTCAGCCACACCTGGGCAGTCTATGTGGGCCAAGCAAACTGTGGTTTTGTAGGAACTGCTAAAACCCACATTTGTCATGCCCTATGTCCCTCTCCTGGCAATTCCCAGGCTTCCTTCTGTTCTCAGGAGGCAGATTTTTAAAATTTTATTGTTGACACTATTACAGAGGTCTCCCATTTCCCCCATTTTTGCCCACCTCCACCCAGACCCTCAGTTTTTCTTTATGTTCAGGTTAGTCCAGTGCAGTGTGACCTTCAGGAGTGGGGGGCGGGGGGGGGTTCTGCCCAATATGGAAACAGCCTGAATGTGGGACACATGTTTTCTGTCTCTCTAATTCCTAGCACAGCCTTTCCTCTTGGCTGTGGCCCCAATTAGGTCAGGACTATGACGGTGAGCTCAACACCCCCAGCTCCATAGTAGCTGAGGAATCTTACCCTTTGTGGTAGCCACTTCACTTGGTTTGATTTTTGTTTTTACAGGCAAAGTGCCCTCCAACCTGCCCCAGGGGGTGCCTCCCCTGCTGCCCAACCAGTACCTCGTGGGTCCCGGAGGATTGCTTCCTGCCTACCCGGTGAGTGCATGGGGGAGTTCCTGGCCAGCCTTGGCTCCCCTGGCCGGACCTAGTGAAGGAGGGCTGTGGGTTGCTGCTAATCCTTACCTGTGCCCTTGCATCTCTGCCAGTTGGAACCCTGGTATTTCGCCCCCATCTTGACTGCATCAAGTCAGGGTGTCTTCTCACAGTAGTTAATCCTGGTCCCCTTCCTGAGTGTGTCCTATCATCTCATCTTGTTTGGGCCCCCACATAGGCCTGGGCTTCTCAGAGGGTAATGTGTTGTCCCTAACACCCTTTTTGGTCCTTACATAGATCTATGGCTATGATGAGCTCCAGATGTTGCAGTCACGGCTGCCAGTGGTGAGTAGGATATGGAAGTGGGCTGGGGGGGTGATGGTGAGGCTCTTTTACAGAACCTTTCTCCCTTTACCTTGATTGCCACCCTGCCTGGCCCTCAGGACACTCAACCTAAAGCTGAGGAACCTGCTTCCAGTTGGTAGTTGTACCTGGTGCAACTGTAGCTTGGGCATATGAATGTCCTGTGCTCACCCCCCGGGGAACTTAAAGAGCACTGGACCTGGGCCCCCAGTAGTCAGTGCCCCTGCTAAATGTGGGTCATTCTCTTCTTTCACTTCCCTCCCTTTTTTGTTTTTCTTTATTGATCTTTAGAGAGAGAGGAAGGGAGAGGAAGAAAGAGATAGAAACATCAAAGAGAGAGAACATCAGTTGGCTGCCTCCTACGTGCTCCCCACTGGGGATTGGGCCCACAACCTGGGCATGTGCCCTGACCAGGAATGGAACCGGCGACCTCTTGGTATATGGGTCAACGCTCAACCACTGAGCCACACCGCCGGGCTTCTCTCCCTTTTTTAAAAAAAGAAGACACAATGCCCTGGCCAGTTTGGCTCAGCGGTTAGAGGGTTGGCCCGTGGACCAGAGAGACCTGGGTTCAGTCCCCGCTAAGGGCACATACTTTGGTTGGAGTTTGTCCCTGGCCCCAGTTGGGGTTGTGTGGGTGGTGACCAGTCTCTCTCATATTGATGTTTCGTTTCTCTCTCTTCCTCTTTCTCTCCCTCCCGCTCTATCTGAAGATAAATGCAAAAATGTCCTCGGGTGAGGATAAAAAAAAGAGACACAACACATGGGGTTCTTTACCTGCCCCTAGAGTTTTTATAGTCTTCTCCTTCAAAGTGCCATTCAGTGTCTTTGGCTTCGGAAGTGGCCCATTGGTGATGCTTATAATGGCACCTTGCTCTTCTGTCCCTAGCTAAGTGAGTACCTGGAAATGACTGACTTTAAGGACCCTTCTGGGTTTGGCCTGCCATTGCTGTTAGAAAGAATGCTGGCTCCAGGATCTCACTGGTTGCTGCAGCCTCACTCTGAAGCCAGGACTGTCTCTTTTTTTTTTTTTTCCAAATCTTTATTGTTGGATGTAAAATGTATTACAGATGTTCCACATTTTTCCCCCATTGATCCCCTCCTCCCCACTCCCGCCTCCCCTCCCACCTTTTCCCACACTATTGTCTGTGTCCATTGGTTATGCGGTTATGCATATAAGTTCTTTGGTTTATTTCTTCCCACCCCCCCAACCCCTTTCCCTTGGAGGTTTGTCAGTCTAGCAATGAATTTGTGCTTCTTAATCCCTTCACCTTTTTCACCCATTCCCCAACCCCCCTCCCAACTGGCAACCAACAAAATGTTCTCTGTATCTATGAGAATGTTTCTGTTCTGCCTGTTCATTTTGTTTGTAGATTCCATTGTTGATAGATATGTATTCATTGTCATTTTGTTTGTTCATACATTTTATCTTTTTCTTCAAAAAGACCCTTCATCATTTCATATAATAACGGTTTGGTAGTGATGAACTCCTTTAACTTTTTCTTGTCTGGGAAAGTTTGTATATGTCCATCGATTCTAAATGACAGCTTTGCAGGATAGAGTAATCTTGGTTGTAGGTTCTTGCTTTTCATCACTCTGAATATTTCTTGCTGCTCCCTTCTGGCCTGCAAAGTTTCTTTTGAGAAATCAGCTGACAGCCTTATGGGAACTCCCTTGTAGGTAACTAGCTGCCTTTCTCTTGCTGCTTTTAAGATTCTCTCTTTGTCTTGAACCTTTTGCATTTTGATGGTGATGTGTCTTGGTGTGGGCCATCTTGTTTGGGACTCTCTGTGCTTCCTGGACTTGTATGTCTGTTTCCTTCACCAAATTAGGAAAGTTTTCTGCCATTATTGTTTCAAACAGGTTTTCGATTTCTTGTTCTCGCTCTTCTCCTTCTGGCACCCCCAAGATGCGAATGTTGGCACGCTTGAAGTTGTCCCAGAGGCTCCTTACACTATCCTCATTTTTTGGATTCTTTTTTCTTTTTGCTGTTCTGATTGGGCATTTTTTGCTTCCTTATATTCCAAATCGATGGTTTGCTCCTTGGATTTACGTACTCTATTATTGAAGCTGTGTAAATTATTCTTTATTTCAGTTAATGCCTCCTTCAATTCTAACTGTGTATCCATGATTTCTAACTGGTCCTTTTTTATGCTCTTGAGGCCCTCCCTAAGTTCACTGAGGTTCTCACTGAGTTCATTGAGCATCCTTATAAGCAGTATTTTGAACTCAGCATCTGTTAGGTTGCTTATCTCCATTTCGCTTAGTTCTTTTCTTGGGGTTTTGTTCTGTTCTTTCATTTGGGACCTGTTTCTTTGTCTCCTCATTTTGGCTGCCTCCCTGTGTTTGTTTCAGTGTATTACTTAACGAGAGATATGGGGCTTGCTGAGACCTGATGCTGCTCGTTTGAAAGAATTTAGGAAAAACCTGAAGCAGGATCCAAGACAGGCCAATCCTATGGTTAAGCAAGTGGCAACAACTTGGGTGGGCCTGAAAGTTGGGTGGGACGGGGCGGGGCCTCAAGGAGTCACCAGGGCGGGGCTACCAGTGTGAGCCAGGTTGCTGGAGTCCCAGATATGGTGGCTGTCTGCCGCCCCTGGGAAGGGCTCACCAAAGGAAAAAAGGCCTCTGACAGCACGTTTGTCCCCACGAAAGCCCCCTCTCCAGCCCTCGCTCCAGTGCTAAACAGCTCAGTTCTTCCCTGTATGTCTCTGGCGCCCCTCGAGCTGCCTCCCCTCCAAGCTTAGAGGGAGAGAGTCCGGTCCAAGTCTGTGTGCGGGCCCTTTAAGAGGAGCTGCCTAGGGCTCCGGCCGCATCAGCCTCCCTGAGCCTCAGTTCCAGCTGGTTTTTCCAGCCAGAAGTTATGGGGACTTCTCTTCCTGGCACTGGAACCCTGAGCGGTGTACCTGGTGTGGGACGGGGACCCCTCAGTCCTCAGGAAGGACCTTCCCAGCCACGGGAGCCTCCTGATTTTTATCTGCCACAGTTGGGTGTGAGACCAGCCCGTCCTGTCCGCCACCCCTCGCGCCTCCGCCCCTCCTACCAGTCTGGATGTGGCTGCTGCTTTAATTTTGTAGTTGTAGGACTTCCATTCAGCTTAATTTCAGGCGGTTTTGGATGATGGTTGTTCTGTAGTTTAGTTGTAACTTTGATGTGGTTGTGGGAGGACGCGATACCGCGTTTACCTATGCCACCATCTTGACCGGAAGTCCAGGACTGCCTCTTTAATTTGACCCTTGCTTCAAGGATAAGGCACTGGGCCTTCCCTGGGATGGCCAGGTGAACAGGACTGCAATGGAGGAGGGCGGTGGAAGAGAGGCATGCTCCCTGCTCTGACAGCCTGCAGGCTCCTGCAACACTGACTCCTTTCTTGGTATGGTTTCTCATACTCCTTATTTCCTGGACTCCTGATAATTTTCAGCAGCACAACTGTCCCATTGTTGGGAAGTAAAAAGCTGTTTGGATACTGGTGTCCCCTACCCTAGATATGGCCTTTCCTATTCCCTGGAGAAGCAGTTTTCTCCCCAGTGAGGTGTCCTTCCTCAGACTCCTCCCCATTGGTGTTGCTGTCTACTCCTCCCCACCCTCAGCCCCCACCCCAACCTGGCCACCAAAAGCTTAGGGAGCTGAAGGTATCACTTCTACCTCCCATGGCCAATGGCTGAAATTCTTATCTCGCAGAACTCCTATCCATCTGCTGAGGTATTTCCCGAGGAATAGGCCAGTAGCTGGGCCACTCTTCCCCTGTGTGCCAACCAGGAATCCATTGCACTGTTGCCCAAGGGTCTGCTGGACTCTCTAGCTGTTGCCCACGTCCCCAGAGAAAGGATGTTGAAACCATAATGGCAGATTTCTAAGGTGGTCAACAGAACTTAGGGTCTCTGGGGATGTCTGAGCCTTAGGACTCTGTGGGAAAACTGGAAGTGGCCCTGATACTCATGAAATCTCACAACCATCTGGCCCAGGAACCCCAGGCCATCAGGGATGGAATGCAAAAGGTGGTCCTGAATGAGTCTACATGTGGGTCCTTTTTGGACCCTCAGGAGTGGCTCATTGGAATCCCAGCCTTGGGAGTCATCTGCCTTGTACTCCTTTTATCATTTTGTGCCTTAAAAGAAATTACCTCTGGGTCTACCTTTTGAGATACAGTGCTTTCATTTTCCCCTTTGGTCATTCCTTAACCTTGGACGTGTTTTTGTTCCTGCATTTGGATAGTCTTTTCTTCTATGAAAGAGCTCCTCCTCCTGGTCTTTCTCTAGGCCTGTCTCCGGTTGTGTTCCTACCGACTTTTTGCTTTCCTAGCCCTGCCTACTCCTGGGGTTCTGGGCTGAGGATGCTACTTGGAAGTTGAGGTTTCTTGGAAGTTGCCTGGAGACGAGGCTGAAGAAGGGTACAGATGTCATTCTCAGCCAAACCCACAAGGAAAGCAGGAGGGCTTTCCCTTGGCTCCGAGGCTAGGGTGTGGGATGTCTGGGACTACAAAGCCCTGGGTAGTGAGTAAGGGTCAGGGTAGGCCTCCCCTTTTCCACATAGCTGCATTGTGTTTTGCGCTCTTGGGATTCACACTTCCCCTGGCTCCTATGGGGTCTCGGGGCAGAGTGGGTGAGAGACACATTCAGCACCTTACCTGGGATCCTGCTTGTGCCTACCTGGCACTGCTGCCCTGACCTGTTAAACATTTTAGGACTGCTCTCCTGCTGAGTCCTTGTTAGGTTTCTACTGTCCAGTCAACTTTCATAGCTTCTCTTTAGCATCTCTCACATAGGAAATGCCAGGGAGTTGGTTCTGCCTGTGGCATTCACCACCATCCATCTGCAGTGTAAACTGGATGTATGAGACTGGACCTTTGATGTACGTGCCCATGGAAGGCTGAGGGATTTGTCCGTGTCTGCATGCTATGTCCTTTGTGACTGCCACATTGTACAACCCCAATGGACATCATTGACTTTGTGCTTGTGACAACCCTGTGGTCTAGCATTTCCTGGGAGGTAGCATCACATGGAGTGCCTGTGCTGCCTGCTGGGCCTGCTCTCTAGGGAGTGGGGCATAGCCATTCTGCTTATTGAGCCTCCCTGGTCTCTCCTAGGATTACTACGGAATTCCTTTTGCTACACCCACAGCCCTTGCCAGCCGAGATGGGAGCCTTGCTAATAACCCATATTCAGGTTAGTCTGTTCAGGGACTGGGTGGGGTCGGTAGGCCTGTAGCTAGTCCCAGGTGTCTGGAAATAGAAGGGCTAAGAGAGGCCTGTTAGTTTCCCATTGTTGAGCTGGCAGCCAGGCCTATTCCTGTTTGAAGGAGGCAGCCTGGCTTTTTTTCCTGGTCAGATAAGGGCTGTGACTAGAATTAGGTGTTCCTCTTCTCCTAGGTGATGTCACAAAGTTTGGCCGAGGTGACTCTGCATCACCTGCACCCCCCACTACACTGGCTCAGGCACAGCAGAGCCAATCCCAGGCCCACCACACCCCACAGCCCTTTCTGAATCCTGCGTTGCCACCTGGCTACAGCTACACTGGTCTCCCCTACTACACAGGCGTGCCCAGTGCCTTCCAGTATGGGCCCACCATGTTTGTGAGTATTTGTGGGGGCTGTAATTCCAGCTGCAGGGAGCAGAAGCAGGGAGGGAGGAACATGACCCCACTTACAGAGTCTCACCTGGCCTTCAGGAATGTTTTAGGCAGGGTGTGAGATTGCTTTACTACCTGTTTTTAGATCCACCATGTGTTGCACTAACAAACACAGGTCCCTTATGATTGTGTCCCTGCTGCTTTACACTAAGTCGGGGGTACCTGACCTGCTCTCCCCTGCCCTGTTCCTCTAATGCCTCTCCTGCTTGCCCCACCAGGTCCCTCCGGCCTCAGCCAAGCAGCATGGTGTGAACCTCAACACCCCCACCACCCCTTTCCAGCAGGCCAGTGGTTATGGCCAGCACAGCTATAGCACAGGTGAGAGGTGCTCCCAGCACGGAGACATGAGTAGGACAGGCTTTCCTAGCTCACACATGCCTCTTGTACCCTGCCATGCTAGGTTATGATGACCTGACCCAGGGGACAGCAGCGGGAGACTACACCAAGGGTGGCTATGGTGGATCATCACAGGCACAAAACAAGTCTGCAGGTTCTGGGCCTGGCAAAGGTAGCGTCTGTCCCTCCTTTCCAGGACTGAGGCACAGAGTAGTTTTCTCCTCCCTGACTCCTCCTCAAGCAAGGCTATCACAGAGTGCCCCTGGAGGTGGGGGAGGCTAGAGCTGGGACCAACTGCTGTGGGAACAACTGCTTTTCATCCTAGGAGTGTCTGTGTCTTCAAGCACCACTGGCCTACCTGATATGACTGGTTCTGTCTACAACAAGACTCAGGTGAGAGAGGAGCAGGTGGGTATGTAGGTTTGTGGGAGGTGCAACCCAAGCTGGTTCTCACCATTTTCTCTTTGCCCTACAGACTTTTGATAAACAGGGATTTCATGCAGGAACCCCTCCACCGTTCAGCCTGCCCTCAGCCTTGGGTTCCACTGGGCCCCTGGCCCCTGGAGCAGCTCCTGGTTTTGCGCCCCCACCATTCTTGCACATTCTGCCTGCCCACCAGCAGCCTCACTCACAGCTGTTACACCACCACCTTCCGCAGGATACCCAGGTGAGCCCAGTGATGGAGGCAGCCACCCTGCCCTGGGTTGGGAGTTCTGCTCCAGCCTTGACAGCCTTCTCTCCTCCTCCTCCTCCTCCTCAGAGTGGCTCGGGTCAGCGCAGCCAGCCCAGTTCCCTGCAGCCCAAGTCGCAAGCCTCCAAACCTGCCTACGGCAACTCTCCATACTGGACAAACTGAGCCTGAAAAGAGGGGTGGACTGGGGCAGGGCTCACCCTGAGCAGGAGAAAACACATGGAGCCCATTTCTGGGAGCCCGGCACCCATTCCTAGAATTCCTGAGACGTGTTACTGTGTCAGCCGAGCCTCTGTGGGGAGCCTGCCTCCCAGACTCACTATTGTATGTATTGTATCTATGTATGTATGTGTAAATGTGACAGAAATCTTGGGGGACTAAGGGGTGCAGCTGCTACTCATCAGGCCTGTTCTCCCCACTCAAACCCCTTTTTGTTGTAGCAAAATAAGCCCCCTTCCCCCTTCTGCCTTCCGCATAGCCCCACTACCAGGAGGCTGCTAGGGGCAGTGTCTGGAAGGGCTATTTTAAGGTAGTTGAGTAGGGTAATGGGATCAGGTACCAATGAAGAATCACGACTTAATCTTGCACCCTTGCAAACCATTATTTGAGTTTTATTCCCTGTGTAATTACTTTATCCTTCTTTTTGAGAAACTGGTCCTTTTGTCATTTGTCATGTTCCTCTCCTGCCAAATCTTGAATCTGGGAATAGTAGAGATACCCACCCTGCTCAACATGAAGTGGCACCTGTTTGTCTTCATATAGAGCAGGGGTATCTACTTCCGGTCTGGTCTTGTCTCCAGAGACTTGCCTTCCTCTGGCTGACCATTTTAATAACAATCTGAATTTGTACTCAAGAGATGTTCAGCCCGTCAGCTCCCCTTTAAAAAATAAAATAAAAAATATGCTCTACGAGAGCACATCTCCATGCAAAGGCTCCTCTATTCCAGTTGTCCTGAATCAGGTGGGTGACTGTTTCAGGGTTTTCTCTTTTGCCCAAAGTCCACCTAATAAAGTTCTGAGAGCACGCAGTCTCTGTGTGGTGTGACTGAAGGGCAAAGACCGTCTTCATTATAGTTCCAGGGACTCTTGGGTTTCACAGGGCTGAAGTAGAGCCCATGTGGTCAGTCTTCCTAAACAACCAGTTGTGAGGGCTAAAATTGGTATTCCTTTCTTTGCTTGGGCCTTCTCTTGCCATGGCCCTAACCAGTTAACATCCAGGGAGTGAAAAGGTAAATGATAAGGCTGAAAAGACAGCAAACATTCCTGACAGGGCACAGGCAGTGTTTACTGGAGTTAACTTTGCTTTTCTTGCAGCTCCATAACAAACTTACCAGATAGGGTAGTCTTTTATAGGGCCCATCAGCAAGAATACCAGGGCAGGATAATTTATTTTCCAAAAGAGCAGAGGTAATAATTGCAGACATGGTTCTAGGCCTGTAAGAATAAGTTTGAACAGCTAAACCTTTGCTTTTCAGTCAGCCAAATGCAGTCTTGAGTGACCATCAAGGCTGTGGTAGATCAGATGACTAGGGAGTCAGGGTGTTATGAATTAGGTGAGTGGGTCCTGGGTAGGTATCTGCTCCAGAAAGTCCCACACATCTATTCACCTGGGATCAGGATTCTTACTTCCCTTAAGCTAGTCCAGCAATCCCTCTTGCTTCCAGGCCACCAGGCAGGGAGGAGCCAGGACCATAAACTTCCTGTGTCTGGCAGGAAGCATGTTTCCCCACTTGTCTGAGGTATAACTGTGCTGTAACTTGGCAGGCAGCTCAGGCCTAGAGGTGTTGTCTGAGGCATTATAGCCTCTCATAATCACCCCTTTAGACTAGGCTAAATAAGCAAACAAAGTGAGTGTTGCTTCAAGTCAAGTATTGGTCAAGTCAGTGTGCCAGGGTTGCAGTCTTTACTTTTTCTTTTGCCTCTAAAATCAATGGTCATTTCATCAGATCGGAGATGTGCTGCTGTTAATCCACAGCCTGGGATCCTGGCCTTAAAAAAAAAAAAAGGTAAGTGCTGCCCTGGCCGGTTTGGCTCAGGGGTTAGTGTCGGCCCGCAGACCAGAGTTGCAGGTTTGATTCCAGTCAAGGGCACGCACCTTGGTTTTGGTTTGGTACCCAGCCCTGGTCAGGGTCATGTGGGAGGCAACTAGTTGATGTGTCTTCCTCACGTCAATGGTTCTCTCTCTCTCTCCCCCTCCCTCCCTCCCACTCTATCTGAAAAGAAATAGAAAAATATCCTCCACTGAAGGATTAAAAGAAAAAGAAGTATCCACAACTGAAACTAAATGGGAAGTTTCATTAAACTATGTAATCGCCTGCCAGAACCCTACTTTTAGCAGCAGGAAATTGGGAAGTAAGTGACAATTAAAATGAATGTTCTCACCCTGGCCGGTTTGGCTCAGCAGTTAGAGTGTCGGCCTGTGGACCAGAGAGGCCCAGGTTCGGTTCCTGCTAAGGGCATGTGCCTTGGTTGCAGTTCGTCCCTGGCCCCAGTTGGGGTCGTGTAGGTGGCAACCAGTCGATGTGTCTCTCTCACATCAATGTTTCTCTCTTCCTCCCACTCTATCTGCAGATAAATGCAAAAAAAAAAAAAAGTCCTCTGGTGAGGATATTAAAAAAAAAAGTGTTCTCCTGCCCAGCTGGTGTGGCTTAGTGGGTTGAGCGTGGTCCCAATGGACTGAGGTCCTGGTTTAATTCCCAGTTAGGGCACATGTGGCTCCATCTCCAGTAGGGGCGTGAAGGAGGCAGCCGATCAATGTATCTCTCTCACACTGATGTTTCACTCTAAAAAAATCAATAAAAACGTACTTAAAAAACAAATCAAATGCCCTCCTAAGGAGCACAGTGGAGCACCCCTCCATCCTTTCCACTGACCTACTTGTACTGGCAGATTGTGCCCTATTTCAGAATTAAGGTTAACAAATGGCTGTGTCCTTAATACCCTTTCTTAAAGCCAGGTAAGAATTAGGGGTATTTATTCTGCAAGGTGAGCTGAGCAGAATGTCATAAAAGGCAGGTCAGCAAGAGTTGGTTTTTGTTTGTTTTAATTTTTCAGCTGTGTCCTGGGCATAATCTTCAAGGGAACAGCAGAGATACTAAGACCACTTTTTAGTTTTAACACAAGAAAAAGGTCATCCCATGGGGAAGTAGCAATACAGGTATATTTTATTTCACATTTTATTAGTAGACAGATGGGCAGAAAAAGACAAAATAAACCACTAAAGGGGAAGTCAACACAAAATGCATCAGATATTTTCTCATAAGTTAAAATGAAGAAAAAAATCTACAATTTCAGCTAAGAAAACTATTAAAGTCAGGTGTGACCTGCTGGTTTCAGAATAGTTGAAAATTGCATCTGAATCTTTTTGTAAATGTAAACCTTATATCAGGACGGGAGGGGTGGAGAGTTAATTTTCAGTGGAGAACTACACATTTTCCCCTTCAATCTCTTACCATACATGTCCCCAAAATAAGGAAACCAGCAAATAAAGAAGCAAATAATTATCAGGGAAGAAAGAAGGGACTACAGAAAAAAGTCTGGCTAATAGAAAAGAACTTTGGAATGATATGAAATAGAAAGGGGAAGACTTTGAGAAACAACAACGGAATCATGATATTACACTTTCTCCACCCAGCTTCAAAAAACACAGACTTGAACACCCAGAGAGGCCTCCACTAGAATCAAAAGGAATCTAAAAATGCAGGATTTTGAGCTCATTAACACCAAATCAACACAAGTGTACTCACAAGGTTCTAGCCTGAGATCTTCACTCCTAAAAAGAAAGTTACAAGCTCAAGTTTTCTTTTGCCACAGGATGTGTTTCTCAAGACAGAGCTCTGGAACCAGCATCTGGGTTTTACAAGTCAGTGTGAGCTACCAGAATGTCTACCTGCTAGCTAATCAACACACCCCAGTCTTCTGATTGTACTCTTATCAGAGGCAAACCCAGCCCTCAATAGTAACACGCCAAAGGGCTGAGGTACTACCTCCACCTGGCTCTCTGGCTCCCTGAGTCAACGTGCAACAGGCCAACGGGGCCTAATGGGACAGGGCTGAGCAGCATAGCACCTCCCACAATGCCAAGGTGCCTGGTCTGCCCTGGGAAAGAAATGCTTTAGCAGTAAGGGAAAAGGAAAGCTTAATTTTAAGGATCCAATAGAGCAAGACCAAGCTATTAGCTGTGAGTGAATGAGTGTGTGTTTGAGGGCAGGGAAAATAGTGGATAATCTGCATTATGAGAGACTTTGGGCTCCATTATTTTTGCAGGTTATTTGGAAGCATTAAGAAACGTGAGGAGTAAACAGCTAGTTCCAACATCCTTCTCATGAAAGTTTCAAGTCTGTTTTGTCACAAAGAGCAGCTGTTTTCTGAATCTGACTGGTCACTAGATCCATGGGTGCAAATAGCCCTGGCCCCGTGGGGATTGGACACATTCTGAGATCAGGCTCAATACTGTCCCATTTGAACCTTAGCACGTTAAACGTTCTCACTTAATACTAGACCAAACTTCAGAGGCCAGAGAGAGTTCGCTGGGAATTAGTCAGCAAATGTTTGGAGAGTTTGAAGAGCGAATGAAAACCCTGAGATCAGAAAGGAAGGAGGAGCTAAGGAAGTAAGCATCACCTACTCTGTCCTAGGATCCATCCTACCATGTCCCTCATCAACTCTTGTTCTTTCTGAGCTAAGATCTGAAGAAAAGGAGTTGACACTAGTGCACAGAGATCTGAAGTAGGATTATAGTCAGTCTGCTATATTTTCCTTCCAAATCCTGTTACTTTGCATTATAATGATTTCCCCCACTGAAAGAACACTGCCCTTGTATGAATTGGCCTACTCCCATAAGAACAAAAATCCCCGCCAAGTTCTGAAGTCTCTGGTTGGTGAAGGCTGATAGATCTCAGAATTGAAGTAACACGTGATTGAGACCAGGGAAATCAAAGCTGCAGCAATTGCAGGGCAGGAAGATCTAGGGTCACCTAGACACTGCCTGCAGCCAATTCCCTCAGCCCTGCCAGGAAAGTCAAAAGAAGCTCAGGGCAAGCTCCATGCACAACTTCTGCTTGCACTCCACAGCCAGAGTACATTGAAAGTAGAGCAAAGTCCAGGTCACATCTAATGAGGAAAGGTAACCGGTCACTCTTGTCTCACATATATCCACAGTTAGCACTAGCTCAATGAAA